TCTCCCCTTGTGGGTTCCTGTACCAGCTGCTCCAAGAAGCAGTCATTTAAGCCATTGAGAAATTTTATCTCCGCTTCTCTTCCTGAGGTGACATGTATCCAGTCAATATGGGGGTAATTAAAATCCCCCATTATGATAGAGTTCTTTATTTTGGTAGCCTGTCTAATCTCCCTTAGCATTTCAATGTCAGTATCACTGTCCTGGTCAGGTGGTCGGTAATATATCCCTACTGCTAATTTCTTATTATTGGAGCATAGAATTACTATCCATAGCGATTCTATGGAACATGTTGATTCACTTAATATTTTTATTTCATTTGATTCTACATTATCTTTCACATACAGTGCCACTCCGCCATCCACCCGGCCTGCTCTATCCTTTCTATATATTTTATATCCCGGTATGATTGTGTCCCACAGATTTTCCTCATTCCACCAGGTTTCAGTGATGCCTATTATGTCAATCTCCTCATTTAATACGAGGTACTCTAGTTCACCCATCTTATTAGTCAGACTCCTAGCATTTGCATACAAGCACTTTAAAAATTTGCCACTGCTTATTTGTCTGCCCTTTCCTGAAGCATTGGATTCCTTTGTATGCGGTTGTTTGTCTGCCCTGGCCCATGGTTTGTCCTCTCTCCTCCTCTCTTTCTGACTACAGCTTAGAGAATCTCTATCAATGGATTCTTCTCTAAGAGAAGTCTCCCTCCGATTTACGTGCCTCTTCACACCAATCGGCTTTCCCCCATCTCTTAGTTTAAAAACTGCTCTACGGCCTCCTCTCAGGCACACAGGCATAATTGAATCACAGCTGGCATAATTATTCTAAATGTACAAAGGGACAGAATAATTACATTTGTCTGTCTCATCGGAGTGTAGTGTGGGTTTCATCATTTTTCCCTAGCAAAAGTCATTTAAAATAGTTTATTCCCAGAGTCACTTTTAATATCCCCTTTCACCCCAGCCTTCCCAGTTACCATCTGGCACGTGCACTGCATTGTTCTTTTGAGAAGTAAAAGTCTCTACTATTCGAAATTGAAAGCCACACAAAATAATTTGATTTTGTTTAGTCCGGGATTTTCAAAGGAGTAAGAGACTTCCAATGCTCTAGAATTTAAATGGGAATTGGATTGCTAACTCCCTTAGGCTCCTTTGTAATCCTAGCCTTCGAGACATATATCACACCTAGAACCATCCTAGCAATTCTAGTGCCTTGTGTTCTACTAACGCTTCCCACCTCAATCAGTCAAGATCATAGAACACTAGAAATGGAAGAGATCTCAAGAGGTCAAGTCCAGTCCCCCTACACTCACGGCAGGACCCAGTACTATCTAGACCATCCCTGATAGATGTCTATCTAACCTGCTCATAAATATCTCCACAGATGAAGATTCTACAACCTCCCTCAGCAACTTATTCCAGTGTTTAACCACCCTGACAGCTTGGAAGTTTTTCCTAATGTCCAACCTAAACCTCCCTTGCTGCAGTTTAAGCCCATTGCTTCTTGTCCTATCCTCTGAGGCCAAGGAGAACAATTTTTCTCCCTCCTCCCTGTGACACCCTTTTAGATACCTGAAAACCGCTATCATCTCCCCTCTCAGTTTTCTCCTTTCCATACTAAACAAGCCGAATTCTTTCAGTCTTCCGTCGCAGGCCATGTTCTCTAGCCCTTTAATCATTCTTGTTGCTCTTCTCTGGACCTTCTCCAATTTCTCCACATCTTTCTAGTTGTTCAGTCACCCCAGACAGGACTTTATTAAGAATCAAGACCCTATAATTTTCTACAAAGTCTCACACCCCTGAACGGTGACAAAGAATTCCATCCATTCAATCTTTAATCTCTTTAACAGACAACCTTCCCAGTGTGCGTGAAGTTTGCCACAACCGGCCCTTGCTGAACCCAACCGTGGAAAAAGAAACCAGAAGAGAGGATATTCTGGTACGAGAAAGAAAAAAGGTGGCTTTGCAGGGATGGTTCTTGACTGGAATACAGGAACCTCTTTCACAGACATCTTGTGTGATTGTGGTCCGATGATTGTGGAGCCTGTGATCTCCATCTGTAAAATGGAGAGGGTACAATTTCCTTTCTCCCACTCTTGACCTGCCTCGTTTATTTAGATTGCAAGTTCTTTGGCCAGGAGCCAGGCCTTATGTCACATTGCACGATGCTTCTCAATGGGACAGCCAGGCTGGGTTGGTGCATGGAGGCAAAACTATCCAAATAAATCCCCAAACAACCCCTTAGCAGTTGCAGTCAAAGAGGCAGTCCCTGAACTTGCTGGCAGGAAGGGCAATAAACATTATAGCTAATGCCGTGACCAGAGCCACAGCCAACCAGTGTCACATGTGGAACAAGGTGTTAGGTTCGTAGAAGTTCCTCCAATCCACAAAAGCTTGCATTCTGAAGGGCCTAGATCAGCGATGTGCTAGGGAGTGAGCCACGTGAGTGGTCCTCCTTTATCTCAGTGGGCCCCAAGACTGTTATAACTAAGATGGTCTTCTAGGATAGAGTAGTTTTGTGATTGTGCTTGTCTACCTAGAATTTGGGGCTTAAACTCCAGCAAGAGAGGTTTAGGTTGGACATTAGGAAAAACTTCCCAACGGTCAAGGTGATGAAACATTGGAATCAGTTGCCTAGGGAGGTTGTGGAATCTCCATCACTGGAGGTATTTAGGAACAGGCTGGATAGACATCCATCAAGGATGGTCTAGATGGTGCTTGGTCCTGCCGTGAGAGCCAGGGACAGGACTCGATGACCTCTCGAGCTCCCTTCCAGTTTTAGCGTTCTATGATTGTATGAATTTGCAGGGGGGCACTGATTGAACCATGGCAGAACTCTGAATTGAACCAGAGGAAGCGCCTGGCTCTCATCGTCAGTGCTGGGTGCAATCAACACGCACCTCACTTCACTAATGCTGGTAGGAAAAAACTAGGCAGATGGAAAATCAGCGGAATCTGGCAACTTTGGCCTGGCAATGGTAAAGAAAATGTCTCCTGGGCCACACAGAACCCCACGGGGCCGCCGGTTGTCCACCTCTGTCCTAGGCCATCTTTAGGGACAGATCCCACCTTAAAATAATCCAGAGCAGTGTGGACAATTGTGGGGAGGGCTACATGAGAAAGGGGGCCTTTCGGTGGCTCAGTGCCTCTGCCTAGGAATTCAGGAATACTGAAGAATTTAGTAGGGTCCCACCACTACAAATGTCCTAAAGGAAGTGTTGCTCCATCCTCATCCAACGGACCTAATTGCTGAACATCTTAAACACCAGTAGCTATAAATTCACCATTTGCTGCCTGGTTGGCTGGAGCTCAACTCCATTTTTAAATATAGCTCATGACTTGATGCCAGGGATGCTACTGGTCTAGAGTCTGATGGAAGAAATCTGCCCATTAGGACCCTGTGCTAACAGATTAGCTGCTCTTTCTTAGGTAACCATCCCGGATTCATGTAGCTGTAGAACTCAGAACCAGCGTGCCTCAGAGATGATGTCACACAAGCAAGTTTGGATTCAAATGCCTCCATGCTGGGCTGCTGGCCACACAGTGACTTTTCCTTCCCCCCTTGCCAGAATGGAGGTCCCTGAGAGTGGACGAAATGGGCTTTGCCAAGTGGAGAAAGTGGACCCAGAAGAAGGGCAGACTAGAGAGAAGATGAGCATGGGAGAATGGAAGTGCCAAGCCTGGTATGGCACAGCCAGTCAGGTATGCAGGAAAGGGGAGGGTGGGTTAAGGGAAGAGTAGCACCAATAAGAGGAGGGAAGGGGAGGATAAAGCATAAGCTAATTCTAGAAAGAAGATGGAAAATAAACAGTGTGGCCAATGCCCACCTTTTAGCTTTGCAGTGTAATCTGGGGGTACGTCTACACTGCCACACTATTTCAAAATAACTAGGACTTAGTCTGTGTCTACACAGCAGGAAGTTATTTCAAAATAGTGTCAAAATACTGTCAAGCTGGAGGACGTCTTACTCCGATGCCTGTAACCCTCATTGTATGAGGCATAAGGGAAGTCGGAGGACAAGTGCTCTATTTCAAAATAAGTGCTGTGTAGATGCTCCTTGTTTTGAAATAAGCTATTTAGAAATAAGATACGCAATTGAGGTAGCTCAATTTGATTGAATTTATTTCGAGTTAAGCCCAGCAGTGTAGACGCACCCTGAGTCCTCGCCGCTTTTGCAGATTCAGACTAACACGGCGACCCCTCTGATACTTGGCACCCTGAAATAGTTTTTCTGAAGTACCGCACAAGACCAAAGCATACAGTAGGGAACGGAACTCCTCTTGCTAAACACTTTTACAAGCAATTTTGATTTTTAAACCAATGGAAAGACAGAGGGTGCATCAACACAGCACCCTAAACTCAAAATAAGATACGCAATGTGCACTACGCAAATTGTGTATCTTATTTCAAAACTATTTTGAAATAGCTTATTTGGAAATTTGGCAGGCCTACACCGCACCAAATTTCAAAATAACACGTTATTTTGAGCCATCGCTTATCCCTCGTGCAATGAGGTTTATCGCAACGGCAAAATAACGCACCCGTTATTTTGAAAAATATTTCGAAATAACGGATGGCTTGCGTAGACTATTTCAGGATACATCCCGAGATAGCCATGCAGTGTAGGCGTACCCATAGTCTATTGCAGGGCTACTCAACTTTGGAAGCCCAGGGGGCCACAATGATACTCACAGCACATGCAGAGGGCTGCAACTTAAGTGTGGTTGCATATACATGCAAATACATATGCAAATATATGCAAATAGCTTTTTTCACACTGATGGGCATGAATACAAAGACTAAGGCAAGACTACACAACTCGCAGGCCCCATTTAAGTCAGTTCTGATGATATTAATATAATGCAATATTTACCCGGTTTCCACCCATATGACAGCACTTTTAATGAGCAATGACAGTCCAGGAATTGAACTACTAAAACACATTTCAATAGAAAACCATTATATTGACTCGCCATTGTGGAGCATGTTCCCAGTGGAGGCCATGTTCAAAGGATCCCATCCACAAGCCATGTGTTGAGCCCTGCATAAACCCAAACTGCACCGCCGGCCGCATACCAACAGGCTGCGGGCCACGTGTTGAGTAGCCCTGGTCTATTGTTTCATGACGCCCTTCCCAAGAGATGATACAAATAAATGATTCACCTCTGTTTTCCAAGTGACAGAAAAGGGAGTTTGCACACAGTCCAGGGAGAACTACATTTCACTTGCTCAGCATTGTTAAAACTAGCTGATGTTAAGCACAGCAGGTCACATCTTGATCTCATTAAAGCTAATGCAAGTTTTAGCTGACCTTGGAACAAGACTTATCACAAAGCATTTATTGTTTCAGTTATCAGTGATAAATTCCAACTCCTATGTGGTTAGTGTCATTAGAGGCAAGTGATATTTACAAAATTTCCTTTGGAATGTACTGAGGCTTGGATGTTCAAAGGCACTTCAGGAAGTTTGGCACCCAACTCCCATTGGCTTTCAGTGGGAGCTGGGCACCAAACTCCTTTAGGTAACTTTGAATTTCTCATCTTAAATGCTTTGGACAGTGCTCAAATTGTGTCCATTGTCCAAACTCTAACCCATGGGATAATGTTTGTCCTATGCAGCACTTAGCAATGGAACACAAGATTTGTGTAGATCAAAAGATGTACCTACTAACTTGATAACTTTGTAGATCGAGAACGAGCATTTGCTCAGCCAAGTGGGGGAGGCAGCCCCTTTGAAAAAGACTTCAAGTACCATACCCGCCGGACAGGTGCTCATCCGTTACACTGACGGCCTCGATCAAGACACCTTTAAAATTGTGAGTTATTAAGTGACCACTAGCAGCAGAAGCATGAATGACCAATCTCTCTTCCTTTTCTCGTGCAAAAGCTTTGACGGAGAAGGCATGAAAACCCCCTGGCGAAACACTTAATTCTCTGCAAACTCCCTTCTTTGTGCAGAAGATTTTCTCATTTCATTAACTTTTTCCAAGACTTGCATAACATATCGTTTAGTACATAACAGAGCTTTTGACGATTGTTCTAATTCTGCTTCTGACCAGGACTCATGTGTGGTCCTGGACCAGTTGCTTTGACTTATTTTCCAAAGTAGCCACTGGTTTTGCTTGACTCACCTTTTTGGTTACTCAGCATTAGAAACCTAGGCCTGGATTCCCCTCCCTCTAGGTGCTGAGCACCACTAGCTCCCACTTCGTTTCAACTGGAGCTGTTGAGGAAAGCCAGGCCAATGGGTCTCAAAGCTGGTCATCCTAAAAACAAAAATTAAAATGGGAACCCAGAATTCTAGATAACTTGTGATATTTTCTACCTCAAGTTAGCCCACCGATGCGAGAGTTCATTTTAAAATTGGCGTCTCTTCCATTTTGAGCGACATTTATGAGGATTTGGATGATTATTACCAACAGGAAGAACTCAACAGCTTCTGTTTGCACAACACAGGAGACATTTTTCTCTAGGGAGAAGTTCAGTGACAGACTCATTTTGCCTTAACCTGATTTACCTGTTGAGAACACTGATGCATGACATGTAAGTGGATGTACAAGCAACACCGTCTAGCTAATCCAGAGCCTGCACTCAGCAAGCCTTAGCTGGATTGAACAGGTTAATTTCACCACAGTGGGTAACTTGTGCTTTCGTCTATGTTAATATTTGTCAGTGGGGTCGCACCTCAGAGTCTAAATTATAGACTAGGAACCCTTTACGTTAGGTGCTGTACAAAAACAATAAACGGTTCCTTCCCTAGAAAGCTTATTACAGTATTTTAATGAGTCACATAGTTCCCTTTTTAAAGGGACTTTGGTGGAGAAAAAAAATTAAGTAGAAAACGCCATACTTAACAGTCAAATTATAATCAGAAATAACCTTTTCCCTACCTACTGGGCAGGAAGCGGGAAGAGACAATACTGCTTTGTAGCTCAGGACTATTAAAACAGCTATGCAGCTTTCCCCCTTCTGTAGGAGGAAAGATAGAGGTTTGGAAACAAATGGTGTGTACAGATAAGAGCTAAGAGAAGAGAGTTTATTCCAGGCAATAACGCCTGTATGCTAACTCTGATACAAACACATACTTAATGAGACCTTCTGCAAACTATGCATAAAATATGGTGAATTTGGGCCAAGGTATATGAGAATGTTATAAAATGCCCTTTCTTCTCCCCTTATTGCAGAATGAGGCATCTTGTAAATTTCAACATACAGAATTCACATTTCTACCTTATGTCAAAAGAGAATCCCCCATCCTTAGCAAGTCCTCAAATACTTCCCCTTACAACTCCTAGGCAGCACACTTCTAACAATTGACATTTGGACTGCCATGCGGAGAATGCACCAGGTCTACAGGGCTCAAACAGCACCGCTACAATGGTTTCTGAAGACGACAAACTATAAATTACACTTGTTAAATACCAAGCACATTGGACATTTTTTTCAGCATAACATAGGACCAACTCTGTATTCAGAAAGAGATGTGAATTGGCTGATTACGTACTTTTAGAGCAAGCACCCAGCCTTCTCTCTCACTGGGCTTTTTGTCTTTACAGTGCAAGGAGTTTCTGAGACCCTTTAAGAAATCTCTTCGGAAACTGGATTTGCCCAAAGAACTTCCCAAGGACAAAAAACTGAAGTACACCAAGAAGAACTTGACCATTCTTGGGGATCACATCAATATGTTTCTTCAGCTTTACTGCAAATCCTGGGAGCTCAAACACTGGAAGAAGTAAGATAATCCTCTCCCACTAGCCATGATAATGCAACACTACAAGTTGAACCTCTCTAGTCAGGCATAGGGATGTCCCTAGTCCGGCACTCTTTGGTCCAGCAACATCCATGATCCGGCATGATTTTAGTTAGCTGGATGTCTACTTATGATGGGTGTGGCCACGTTTCCTCTGGTCTCATGAAGTTTGTTTACAGCCACCAATCCTGGCTCTCAGGGTTCTGTGCTGTTCTTTAGCTCTAATTTACCCCTAAATGTCTTCTAAGAGCCCAGTAAGCAGTGGAAGGGTTGGTAATGCTGCTACACAATATTGACCTCCTATGGTTTGGCAAATTGTCTATTTCAACACTGGTCAGGTCCTGAGGGTGCCGGAGTAGGGAGGTTCAACCTGTACTAGCAATCATTGACAAAGAAGATTGGGGTAGGGGATTACACAAAGGACTGAGAATAAAAACTGGGTCAGGACCGGACTCTGCCACAGATTAGCTCTGTACATTTGGACAATCATATTTCATGGCATGCCCACATGGAGCCTGGCATGCCGAGCACCCACAATTACCTCTGCTTGGGAGCTGTAGGTACTTAGACCTCTGAAAATCAGGGCACTGGCTTCCCAAGCCGAACATCCAAAAATGGAGGCTTTCCAAGTTAGTGGACACCTGAAAATAAATTGATCCGAGCCAACCTCCTGGATGCATCTGTGAGCACTTATCTTAAGGGGTATCCCCAATTTGAGTCCCATCCATGTGCAAAAACAAACCAAACCACCCCTTCATTCCAGTTTAGGGAAGCGGTTAACTTTGATTGGCTGGCCCGTCAGGGGATAACAATACAACTCGCCAGCTGCTAACGCATTCACTCTGTAGTGTGGATGCAATTAGTGCCACGCAAGTGCTGACAGTTCTCCAAGGCCTTCCCACCCGTGTCCAACAGAATGGAGAAGTTCACCCACAATCCATTGAGAACCAATGAAGACAGTAACGTAGCTTATTACAGTAGAATGAACCATGGGATGTGCCACACCTCCTTGGTGGAAACAAATAGTGGCTATTTCACAGCCAACTTTGCAGTGAAAACATGTCCTCAACGTGTGAGCGTTAATTAGTTAAATGCCTACAAGTCATTAGAGAAGCTGCTAGATATTATTGTGGTATTTTAAAGTCTACTTTACTGCCCAGAACTTATTCAAAAGCTCATTTGGATTCTAAATTCTATGCAATCAAGATGTCCTGTTTCATCAGGGATAGCCCTGTAACTGATATCGAATTAGCAAGTTCTTACCATGCAGGGAGCTGGAGGCCCTCTGGGTGTAATCCCAATGGTATACAACTTAACTCAGTGAAGTGACACCCTGGGTGAATTTAATCCCATGGCCAAATAGCATCTGGTATTATCAGAAGCAACCCAGTGTATGGTGACTGGATGAGCTTCTGGTTGAAAATACCATCCCTTTTCTAAGGGTCATAAACCACCTACAAGAGTTTCCTTCATTGACTTCAGGAAGGGTCTCATGAGAAGGGCTAACCGTCTGGCTGATGGTTATAGAACAAAGCTGAGCCAGCTGCCTGACACCCTGAACTCCAGAATGATTCAACATTCCTAGGAGCGGGGCCTATCTATGCAGAATGGAAGCTTAATAAAAAAGGCCCATCCAATTTAGTATGTAATTGGTTACAGGAGAGAAGCAGAAATCAACTACCTGCCCCAACCCCCAATTGCAAAAAGCAGGTAGGGGGAAATTTGCCTGCAAGAAGACTCCTTCACTCTGTGGAACTCCTTGCCAGAGGATGTGGCAAAGGCCAGGACGTTAACAGGGTTCAAAAAAGAGCTAGATAGAGTCATGGACATTAGGTTCATCAATGGCTATTAGCCAGGATGGGTAGGAATGGTGTCCCTGGCCTCTGTTTGTCTGTAAAAGGGGGATAGGAGAGGGATCATGTGAGGATCACCTGTTGTGTTTCCTCCCTCTGGGGCATCTGGCATTGGCCACTGTTGGCCAACAGGATACTGGGCTGGATGAACCATTGGTCTGACCTATTATGGTTCTTATGTTCTTACTCATTCTTCCCTCTAGGGTGCTGTGGAAATTTGTTTCTCTTTTCTCAGAGCTTGATGCAAGATCCCTGTGCAAACTGTACAAATACAGTAAGAGCAACCAAATGGCCAAGTTTCTGGTAAGATCCACAAATGGACAGCAACCACACCAGGTTCTTCCTGCTTACTAACTTTAAAGGGATCTTTTAATATTACCAGGCAGGGATCTTCCACAATTCCCATTCATTTGAGTGAGGTTTTCTTCCTACACCAAGTACTATTATTCCTTTGAATCCTTCCTGTTCCAGCTACACTTTTTAATGACAGTCATTCAGCTATTGCCCAACGTATCTTCATATATCAGCCAGTTGCTTCTCACTGCTCAAAAGGTCTGACCTTATAAAATTGTTTCCAGGATTTTCCAGCAGAATTGTCCTATGTATTATCCTAGGTTAGAAAGACTAGAAAGGTTAGAGCTGTAGATAGGGTGAACAAGAACTATCTACTGCAGGAGTGGCCAACCCGTTACAGACAAAGAGCCAAAATAGTGGTGGATACAGCGCAAAGAGCAGAGGGAAAGAAGGTGTTGAGCAAAATAAATAAATAAATAAATAAACGCTGCCCCTAACAGCCGCGTGGGGCCCAAGCAGGTTTCCATCGGCGCACCTAGACTAGACAAGGAGAAAATGTCCGAGCAGGGGAATGCAGAACAGCCGTGGGTACGGGAGCCACAATTTTTTCTTTGAAGAGCCAAGCCGCAGGTTGGCCACCCCATATCTACTGCCTATGCTCATGTCTACCACCAAAAATGATAGGTAGCCAGATGCTGTCCTTTGATGAGAACAGAGAGTTCCTCCTATCTTCAGTGAGACTCCCCCAGGATTTGAAAAATAGATCAATCTGCAAGATCTATATAAAACTCCTACTTTAAAAAACAAAACAAAACTTAATTCATATCAAAGCCAGATTTCGGACATAAGGTGTCTGTAAAAGTTAGCTCATAATTTCTTAAGGCTCTCGCTGTCTCTCACCAACGTCCGCATGTGTGAAAGGTAGAGTAATGAGATTTCTACCCCAGCCATAGAGAAAAGGTGAAGAATCCTTTTAGCACATAGGTTCCCAAATGGGGGGGGGAGCGCCTCCCCGGGGTGTGTGAAGAAATACCAGGGGGGGTACGAAGCAACCTAGCCCCCCCACAAGAAAGAGCCGGGTCCGTCCCATAAAAAAAGTCAGAAAATACCAAGTGAAACGTCCGGTATTTTCTGGTTTTCCGCCGGAACGCATGCAGCTCCACCTAGCTGGGGTCGGGGGGAAGATGGAGCATCCTGGTCAGACTTCAAAATGGCCGCCTTTAAAGGCTCAAGAACTTTTCCCCTGAAGTACCGTCACCTTTTTTGTACACTGGTCCTGGGAATTAAAGGGGCTGCGACTGTTTTTTGGCCCCCCCTTTTTTGGGGGAGGGGAGTCAACAAGTTTTGCTGAAATTTTTTTTTGGGGGGGAGAACAGGGAGGAGGGCATGAGGGTTTCTCAAAAATCCAAAAGAGGGTGTGATGCTGTAAAGTTGGGAACCATTAATTTTAGTGTACTAGGAAACTGATGCCCCTATGCCCGATGCCAGTCACAGGGGGCAGGATAATTTTTTAGAGATGTGATTTAATAATATTCAGCAGCACACCATTAAAATATTTTTAAAGCAAATTTCAACTAAAGTCCTGTCGCCTAACCCAGTAAATTCAGACGCTAACAATGTATACCTGCAGTTGGCAAATGCCTGTTTAATAGCTTCATTACCGCTTGAACGGCTCCTTCGCAGGTTCAGGGTCCTGCTAATTGGGCTGGCCGGCTTTTCCACTTTTAAGTTAAGCAGATCCACTCCTGAGGAAGTGAAGCCACAGACTAGGGATAAGAAGAGGGGTGTGTGTGGGGGCGAGGGGGAACGGGATATTAAGACCCAGTGGTGGCCCAAATTTTTGGGTGCCCTACACGGCTGTGAAGTCTGCATATGGATAAGGATGCAGTGATCTCCAAAAAGTGTGCTGCCATGTGCCTTCAAATATTTATCAATAAAGCTAAAACGCTCTAATCTGCGCATTCACCAGTCAGAGCAAGACTAAACCAGAAAGTCCCACTTCATAAACGGCTGTCTGCCATAAACACGACTTTCTTCTTGTTCGACTTGCTCAGCATAATATTGTTTGCTTAATGCTCAAAAGAGAACCTCGCTCCCTGCTGTCGGGCCATGATAAAGAGCAATAGACGCTACAGGTATAGCTCAGTTCCATTCAGAACTAAGGGCGTAACCAGGCAGATTTTTTTTTGTGTTTAAATCTCCATGGAAATTGTTTTATGTTGGTGGCTCTAAATCAGGGATAGTAAATTATTTTTGTCAAGGTCCAAATTTCTTGGTCAAGGTCTATTCAAGGTCCAAAACCTAGAGAAAAATAATAACAAGTAAGGGGAAAAAAGATGCGTAGGTCCATTATAAAGCATCTGGTGGTCCAGATTTGGCCCATGGTGGGTCTGTTGACAACCTCCTCACTAAATGATTATTTCTAATTAGAAAGGAGTCAACATTTATTTAGAAAGCACTAGACAGTAGCTTTGTAACGAGCATTAAACATGAAGTATTCAAGGGCCCAGATTCAGGATATTGAAAAACTGAGAAGCTGAAGGATGAAGCCAAGTTAATAATAATAATATATGGAGATATACCATCTCATAGAGCTGGAAGGGACTTTGAGAGGTCATTGAGTCCAGTCCCCTACCTTCACAGCAGGACCAAGTACCATCCCTGACAGATTTGTCCCAGATCCCTAAATAGCCCCCCCCCCTCAAGGATTGAACTCACAACCCTGAGTTTAGCAGGCCAATGCTCAAACCACTGACCTATCCCTCCCCCCTTAGATAACTTGGTTCTTCTGATACAGTGGAATTTCTTTAAGACGAGGTAAAGCTCCTTTGTGTGGGAAACTGAACTTTTTCAGGGACTGCAAAAGGAGTTCCCGCCGGAAACACAGAGCACCACAGGTCTCACAACCTCTCCGCTCCAAGTGCGCCTGGCATGTCTCCGGCTGATTTCTCTAGCAAAGAGCAGCAAGAAAACAAATCAAGATCAAAGAAAAAAAACCCTACAAAGCCAAGATGCTCCACTGCCTCCTCTCCTCCTGGGGAGAAAACAAGAGAACAAAGCCCTATACCACTGAGGCTGCTTGTGCTGCTTAACACCCTGTTACAGGCACTAAGTTACAGCGGGGAGGAGTATGAAATATAAATCTATAGAAGAACAGCAGTCTCCCACATAGTGTATAGTAAGACTAGCTGGTTTCTAGAAGGAGTGACAGAAAAAAAAAAAAAGACAGATGAGACATTATATAACGGATGACAAATGCTTATTGTTCTGCAAGCCAACGAGCGAAAATAAACATCTTTGTCTTTTGTGTGAAGAAAGCAGTAGGCTTCAAAGCCCTTCTAAACCATAAACAACAGGCTGCGGAGTAGAACAGTGACATGCACCCTCCAAGCCATAAAGAGATGATTCGGAAACACCTCGTAGTTCAGCCAGGAACGTGTAAATATACGGAACCAATGCTGCAATTAGCCAGGGCTTGAGATTGCCAGCATATTAATGTGAAGTCTTTATGAAGTTTACCACATCAGGGAGACGAGCAGCACTGCCAACCAGCCTTAATCATTAGTTTTCTTAAGGGCAAACAACAAGTTTCTCCTTCCTGATGTAGTAGGAATCGACACAGTCTGCAATTTCAGCCCTCCTTAAACGTCTTATCTGACAGGGGAGCTCACCAAGAATTTTCAATTCAGCACCTCTCACCCCATATCAACCAAATGTGAACGGTCCTTTTAACCACACCCCCCTGGGTTATTTTAGTATCCAAATCTTGGTGCAAAGGCTGCTCAGGTTCGGGTGGTGCAGTTGGTATCCCTCCCGTTCACAGGATCTGGTTATGTGGATCCAAATGCAGGATTCAAGTGCATTTTCAGTTTGGTTTTGCTCATGCAACGTGGAAGGACCCTGAGGACTACAAATTTTTATTGCGTCCACACTGTAGGGCAAAATTCTCATTAGCACTTGCCTCCAAGAACTGTGGCTTTAAGAAAGAGGCCAAATGGCATGAACATTTGCAGTGTTGCTGTCATGTGCCTGTCGTGGAATTCTGTGATGGTCCAAGGCTTGTCACGTGCTGGGGTTCCACGCCCTCTTAAACAAGTAAGAATTGTCCCTTCTACACAGCATTTCTGTCTGTCATGATTATGAGGGTTAGCCAGCAGCCTGGGGATTAAGGGGTTAACTACACCTAGCCAGGTGGAGTGACCAGTAGGAATGTAGGAGGGAGTTTCAACCTGGGACAAAGGAATTTGGGTTTTTCCTTTGACCTTTTGTCTCTCTGAGGGAGTTCTCTGCAGCTACAGAGAGGGACAAGCATGTCTCTCTCTCTCCAAGACACCATTCTTCATTTTCTGTAAGTAGGGTAAAGTTTAGGTACTTTCGTTAGGTTTTATTGTTTTATAGATTGGAACTGTTTAAAAGATGTTTTGGCTTTTCTTTGTAACTAAGTTCTAGGCCCATGGAGTTTCTCCATGAGTATATTTTGTTACCTCCCTATCTAGTCATTATGTTTGCAACAGGAATCTTGTTGTAATAATAAAAGTTCTTTCTTTTCTTTTTATTAACCTAGCAGTGGTTAATTGTGTGCCTTGATTTTATTTTAGGGGTAAGATTTCCCAAATGATCTTTCCCCTGATTTCTTTATCAACATTTGGGTGGTGGCAGCGGAAGTTTTATTCCCAAGATCTAGGTTTTTAAGATCTTGGGGGAAGTTTTAGACTAAAGCCTGGTAGATAAGGCTTTGGGGTACACTTGCTGGCCCCCACTTCTGCATTTATCATGCCAGAGTGGGGAAGGAGCCATGACACTGTCAAATTCTATTCGTTTGATCTCCATTTACTTCTGAAAGGTTTTTCTAGAAGTACAAAACCGAAGGAAGGAACAGGAGTGGAGATAATCCAGGCTAGTCAACCAGCAAAGCTTCTCTGCCTACAGACGATATCACAAACTCACAGTGAAACCCTGTGGCAGTCAAAAAATGAATACACAGGTTGAACCTCGGTTAACCAGGATTCCTTGGTCCAGCAACATCCATGGTCCCACAGGCTCATGGATGTTCCAGGACCAGTGTGTCCCGGTGGAAGGCTGGTGGTTGAGAGCCTCCCCCCCCCAGCTGGGCAGCCTGGCTCCCCACAGCCGGGCTCCCCAGTGTGCTAGGTACAATCCAGTGGGACCAGAAGCCCAGCGCACCCCAGCCAGGCCAGGGGCTTCATGGAGCTGGGCTGCCTGGAGTAGCGGGTGGGAGAACCGGCAGGGAAGCAAGGCCGCAGCCTGGGGGGAGAGGCCGCAGCATGGGGGGAGCAGACCAGGAGACTGACAGCTGGTCCGGGGGGAGCGGTAGCAGGGGACCCAAATAGGACCTCCCCTGGGCCAGCAAAAATCCTCATCCAGGACCAGTCAAATCCCAAGGCAGCTGGTCCAGGGAGGGATCCAAGCTGCACTGATTTCACTGCATTGGTTTAGGTGAGGGGCACGGATGCATATAGAATTGCCTCTGTTTAAACAGCAGATGGGTTTGGCCCAGAGGATGCAGTGAGCAGTTCAGTGCCTGTAGGTCTTCCTTCCATGAGCCAGATGTCTTCAAGTCACCAGGGCCTGATGAGATACATCCTAGAATTCTCAAGGAGCTGATAGAGGAGGTATTGGAGCCTCTAGCAATCGTCTTGGAAAAGTCATGGAAGTCAGGAGAGATACCAGAAAACTGGAAAAAGGCAAATCTAGTGCCCATCTATAAAAAGGGAAATAAGAACAACCCAGAAAACTACAGACCAATCAGATTAACTTCTGTGCCAGGGAAGATAATGGAGTCGGGAATTAAGGAATTAATCTGCACACATCTGGAAGATAAGAAGTTGATAGGTGACAGCCAGCATGGATTTGTAAAGAACAAATCACGTCAAACCAATCTGGAGAAGCGGTGCACATGGTATACCTAGATTTAGTAAAGCATTTGATAGGGTCTCGCATGACCATCTTATCAATTAACTAGGGAAATGTAGCCTAGGTGGGGCTATTATAAGGTGGGTGCATAACTGACTGGATAACCATTTTCTGAGAGTAGTTATTAACGGTTCACAGTCATGCTGGAAGGGCATAACAAGTGGGGTTCCTCAACAGTCTGTTTTGGGACCGGTTCTGATCAATATCTTCATCAACGATTTAGATGATGGCAGAAAGTAGAAATATTAAGTTTGCTGATACCACCAAGCTAGGAGGAGTTGCAAGTGCTTTGGAAAACAGGGTCAAAATTCAAAATGATCTGGACAAACTGGAGAAATGGTCTGAGGTAAATTGGATGAAGTTTAATAAGCACAAATATAAAATACTCCACTTAGGAAAGAATAATCCGTTTCACACATACAGAATGGGAAGTGATTGTCTAGGAAGGAGTACTGCAGAAAGAGATCTAGGGGTCAGAGTGGACCACAAGCTAAATATAAGTCAATAGTGTGACACACTTGCAAAAAAAGGCAAACATCATTCTGGAATGTACTAAGAGGAGTGTTGTGAGCAAGACACAAGAAGTCATTCTTCCATTCTACTCAAGTCATTCTTTCGCTCTACCTCAACTGAAGTATTGTCCAGTTCTGGCCACCATATTTCAAGAAAGATGAGGAGAAATGGAAGAAGGTCCAAAGAAGATCAACAGAAATGATTGAAGTTCTAGAAAACCTGATCTGTGAGGGGAGACTAAAATAATTGGGTTTGTTTAGTTTGGAAAAGAGAAGACTGACAAGAGGACATGATAAAGGTTCCGAGTATCTAAAAGGAGGAAGGAGAAAAATTGTTCTTTGGCCTCTGAAGATTGGACTAGAAGCAATGGGCTTAAATTGCAGCAAGGGAGGTTTAGGGTGGACATTAGAAAAAACTTCCTAACTGTCAGGGTGATTAGACATTGGAATAAATTGCCTAGGGTGGTTGTGGAATCTCCATCACTAGAGATATTTAAGAGCAGGTTTGACAGACACCTGTCAGGATGGTTTAGACGGTGCTTGGTCCTGCCATGAGGGCAGGGGACTGGACTTGATGACCTCTCAAGGTCCCTTCCAGTTCTTGTATTCTATGATTCTATGAGTGGAATTCTCAGAATATACTAGGGGGGATGCGCCCTTTGCTCACTACACTCACCAACCCCCCTCTTTCTGGTGCTTTTGTGGCTGGAGAGCCTAATGTCATTATGTCATGTGTCAGGAAAAACTTTTTTTTATATAAAGAGAGAGATTTCTGGTTTTAAAATAGGGTCCATGGTGTCCTAACTGTGTGTTTGGATGAGGTTTAGTGACAGAGCAGTGAGTCAGACACACAACTTGGCTTCTAGTCAGCTAGGCCAGGTGTACACTAGACCTAGAAGGTCGAGTTAATGACCAGAACTCCAGCTATGTAAAATATGTTGCGGGAGTCAGTTTACCTTAAGCCGAGTTTGGCACCGTCTTAACACAGAGAGTCCGACGGGAGCAAATGCTCCTGTTGGCTTCCCTTACTCCTCGTGACTGCCAGGACCATCCTCAGTGTTCATTTTAGCAGGTCTTTATTGGACCCACTAAATCAAACACCAGAAGATCGATTTCCAACGTGGCAAGTGGATACATGGTCTGAGCTACAGGGGTGGCTCCATAGATTCTTGGATCTCTACAGCTGGGAGCAGAACTCCAACAGCAGGGATTTCTTTGAAAGAAAGAAAATAATCATAGAAATGCAAATCACCTGCATTTCGTTAGTAGTTTCCCATCTAGACACACTGGTGTGGCCAAATAGAAGGAGATCCTGATTGAGATCATTTCCCAGCATGAGGGATTAATACCAAAGGGCCTGGTCGTACACCTATGTTTTAATCCTGCCTTCCTGGGTTACGTCAATTTTTATTTTTTATTTGTTTGCAGAAATTGTACTGTAGCTCAGAAAACCCAGATTCAGTGCCAGTGCCTGAAAACTCCAAGTTAACTGAGCTGTATGATGCATGGGGCCTCCATGGAGACATAAATAATATGCAAGAGAAGCTGAGTCAGATCCAGTCACCGCCGTCAGAAACCAGCCTAGACAGTGACTCAGAGGCAACAAGTGTGACAAAGCGGAGGTACAGCTGCTAAAGGATGCTAGGTATTGCTGAGAGCTAATGAAGTCAATAACAAGCCAGGCAGCTGCCCAATAACCACTCCAAGTACAGGTGTGCAAAAGAGGCAGTGGATGCAAATGACCATTCATGCTCAGGGAAATACACGACTCATGAGGTGATATAATGGAGGGCTAGAACCAACACAGACCTTTGACCCAGTAATAGAAGAGGTGGGTGGAGGGAAACTAGCTGCCATAGGGACTACTCCGCCACAAGGGAGCAATGGTGATAATGCAGTCACTCTGCTGCCTAGCTCTTTGTTTGTACTTGAGTCGGGTGATTGTCAATTCACGGGGGTTAATATGTTTGTATGCACAATTCCATTTGCCAGTTGGCTGAGCCCAGGATAAATCACACGTATTTGTGTAGATGCTGATGAGCGTGTACAAAGAAGTTGGCTAATACTGAGTGAACTAGCCATCAATTAACATAAGTCTAATATAGATGAAATCTGAAAGGAAGAATTCCTTCCTGACCCTATGGCACCAAACTCATCACATCCTTTCAGGAGGAGGGATTTGAGCCCAAGTACATTCAGGCCAGGCCTACACTAGACCCAGCAGGTTGGCTTAAGGTACGCAACTCCTACTACATCAGCTTCCCTTACTCCTGGCAAGAGCAGGAGTACCAGATGTCAGCAGGGGGTGCCCTCTGAGTTTGATTTAGCAAGTCTTAACTAGACTTGCTAAATCAAACTCCGGAAGATCTATCACAGCAGCATCGATCTTCCATGGAGTGAAGATGTGGCCTCATTGTGGGCTGCTAGGATGATAGTCAGTTCCATGGAAGACCTTCCCTTTTTTTCCCCATTTACTCACTGTCCTTCCTCTTGCTTCTTTTCTTCACCCCTCGTTCAGCTTTCTTCCATTCAGCTTCTGGAGTACCACCTCCAAAAGCCCCCATGCAGGGTAGGGTGGAGCAAACAAGAAATCATCAATAGTGACCAAAGCAACAAGAGAGAACTTCATTGAGGGGTAATGGAAAAGCTGAAAAAAATAAATGATCTAGGCAGGCAATAAGATGTATGGGACTGAGTATGGATGTAGGAGCCGAAGACTCCTGACTGGGCCTAATACTATGTAAGAGAGCTGTCATGAAGTTTGGTTCATGAGTATTTGTTAAGTGTATTTAAGATGTGCAGCACCTGTGAATTCCATGTACAATTACAATGCATATGTAACAATTACTTCAAAAATTAGAAATTTATCTGCACTTGAAATCTGCATGACTTGTTACACCACTCAGTGTGCATAAGACACCATCTAGCCCAGCGTCCTGTCTTCGAACAGCAGTCTTGCCAGATATTTCAGAGGAAATTCACAGAACAGGGCAATTAATGAGTGATCCATCTCATGCTGTCTGCCAGAAATTGGGAGTGGGCGATCGGTTATGCCTCAGCTATGTCAGGTAGAATGAGAAAACAATGTAGATGTATGAAATTGGGTAGAGTAAGGAACTGAACAGTCTGAGGAAGATTCATGTGGATACTGCTTGTTAACTGCATGGCTTGGAGCACAGCATTCCTATTGGTTTCCTTTGTTGGTTGGAATGTACTAGCCCCCAAACTTAAAAAAGTCCCCCCCACCTGTTTTTTTTTTGTTTGTTTGTTTTTTTAGGCTCAGTAAGACTTGTTCAAGCACCAACCAAAAGAGAGCACCTACAACACAGCACCATCAGCAATCCTCACGGACGAAAAGCATAGCATGAAAAAAAAAAAAAAACACAACACAGTCCCCCCGAAAGCCAAGGCATTTCTCCCACACCCAGAAGCTCTTAAGAATTTAAAAATTCCATAAAAGTTTAGTATTTGCAGAAACACTGAAACCAGCAAACACCAAAGCAAAATCTTGGAAAGGAAGATTAAAGAGTCCTTATACCTTTTAAACTGTGGGGTCTCCTTTGTAAATATCTTGGTGTTTTCAAAAGAGTTGCACCTTCCCAAATGAAAGATGTCTTCAGCATTCTTACTGGTATATATTAAAGCTATTGGTGTTTTCATTCTTGCTAGCATTTTGAAGGCAACTGGTTTTTACAGAAATTAATACAGTGAGTAGTTCAGACATTTGTCTTGTTATTTCCCTTTTATTTCCAAACATACTGGGCACATGTTGGCTCTCAGCCAACGAGAGCAATAGCAAGCCTCGCAGACATAGATGTTGCCAGCCACTGGCTCAATGGAGCATTGTTTTATCAGGGCTTTCATTTGAGGATTGATGTGTGTGAAGGGCTTGATATTTTAAATCTTTTTGTGATAATGGCTTTACTGATTCTTTTTGTTTGGGGAGGGAGGTTGGTTGTTGGACTTGACTGTACAATCAGGCTACATCTTCCCTTGGAGTTTTTTCTGGTGGAAAATATGCTAATGAGGGGCTCATTAGCATACTTTCTGCTACTTCTTTTTGCGCAAGGGATTTTTGTGCAAGAAGAAGCAGCGTGGACTCTTTTTTTGGGGGGGAGCAAAACCCCCGTTTTGTGCAAGATCCTTATGCCTGTCTTGGAGAGGCATAGGGATCTTGCACAAAACGGAGTTTTTGCACAAAAATAACCCCGTCCGCACTGCTTCTTTTTGCGCAAAAATCCCTTGCGCAAAAAGAAGTGGCAGAAAGTATGCTAATGAGATCTCAAATTATGCTAATGAGTCCATAAAAGGCTATTAGCCAGGGGATAAAATGGTGTCCTTGGCCTCTGTCAGAGGCTGGAGAGAGATGGTAGGAGACAAATCTCTTGATCATTGTCTTCGGTCCACTCTCTCTGGGGCACCTGGTGCTGGCCACTCTCGGCAGACAGGCTACTGGGCTAGATGGACCTTTGGTCTGACCCAGTAGGGCCGTTCTTATGTTCTAACTTGCAATTTTGGGCATTGGCCAAAGTTGACAGTTTTAAAATGGCCCTGTAACTGCAAGAGGTCTAAAAGCTCGATGCAAACGTTTCCTAACTCAGATCTTTACCTTTCAGTCTTAAAAAGATGAATCAAGGATCCAGGGAAACACTTTGCTATGGTTTGGACTGTTCAAGCAAGATTTTCACAAATTTAAACATTTTTCAGTCCATCCATAATGTGGGTCACAGTGAAAGGAATGTCAAACTGCAGACAGCAAAAGCAGCAATCAGGTACAGTTAGTGAGATTAGCTGCCACTAGAAAGACTTCAATAGCTTTCATCCACCAAGCAAGAATACTGCAGTAAACTGAAGACTGAATGCATGTAAAGCAGCAGCGACCTCTGGTGGCCAGCCAAGTTATTCAATTATTTGAATTCTCAACATGTAATAAGCACAAAATAGTCTCCATCTTAGATGTTCACATCTGTTGTGCATAGAGAACTTCCTGTCTCTGAGAAATGCTCTCTTGTTTTCCTGTCTCCTTGGTTTCTATTATAGAATATTTTAAGTTGGACACAACATGTAGGAAAGACAGCCTGCGAGTCCTCTTTATCTGCATAGAACAAGCACGCAACACTTTGCGGCAGTCAACGCAGCAACAGCACGGTCATGGGAATTCATCGGCATCAAAAGCAAACAGCTTCTCTCCACCCATTTCCTGCAGCTCCCCTTGGCTGAAAACAGCCAATGGGAGCGAATGGGAGCCACGAGGCTCTGGGGCTATGGACCCTTTAGGTAAACAAAGTGGTGTGGCTTTCCCAAAGCTGGCCCCATGGCCCACTTTAAGGAATGCTGGCCTAAGGTAAAAGGAAGTGACATCTAGTCATCAATACATAGCAAAGGATATCAAAAGACAAAATTTAAGTTACTACTCTGGCCAAAATACTTGCAGGACTTTCTAGCCTCTCTCTTTTCTAAAATTAATCTGCTCACTGAAAGCAGGTGAGTTGTTCCATTTAGTATTTTTTCCGAAGCAGCAAACAAGGGGATTCTACATAACCGGTGAGTTTGTTCCTTTCAAAGTCAAAGTTAAACTGCAGAATAGTGATAGAAATGTAGCCGTGTTAGTCTGGGGTAGCTGAAGCAAAATGCAGGACAATGTAGCACTTTAAAGACTAACAAGATGGTTTATTAGATGATGAGCTTTCGTGGGCCAGACCCACCTTTACACACTGATGGGCTGGGTCCATGTAGGTCTCATGTAAGGGAGTCGAGGGGCCTGAGGCAAAGCCAATGAAAAGACTCCCTAACTGCAGAGACATAGATGGACAAGATGATCCTCACGCATCTTCCTGTCCCCTTGCAGGCTGTGGCTCTTTTAAATCTTACTCCATTCCAAAATGTGTATATATATGGACAGCCACAGGGACAGACTTGTGTGCATCTCAGTACATTATGTCGTTCGCTCTAAAATAAAATGTAATTAAGGCTGAAGGGAAGGTTGCTGCCACCTCATGTTTCTTTACAAAAAATAAACTTGAAAACCCCTTCAACTTTATTTAAATAGGGGAATGTGAGTTTGACTAGGCACTTCTCAGTCAAACCAGAGAGAGGACTGAACAAGCCTCTCCCGTCACAGCCACAATTAGAGCTTGAACTAAGCGAGTTATCATTGAACTTCTCAAAAGGAGATCAGGCCCTTAGTATCCTTTTCTTCTTTTAAGTCTGAGCTGCATGTATTGGGATCAAAAGAATATAGCATTACACTAGCTAGCAGGTTAAACATGTGCTCTGATGCTTCCTTCAGCACCATAGAAGGGCACTGCATTTTGGTTCCATCGGTGTAACTTGCTTAGACAGGTAAGCAATCTGGAAGATGAATATTCAATTCAACTGGTGTCCGTGGAGTAGACCAGGGCTACACAACTTTGGAAGCCCCAGGGGATACAATGATACTCATAGCACATGCCAAGGGCCACAACCTAAGTGTGGTTGCATATACATGCAAATATATGCAAATAGCTTCTTTCACACCGACGGGCATGAATACAAGGATTAAGGCAAGACTACACAACACGCGAGCCCCATTTAAGTCAGTTCTGCTGATATTAACAACATGCAATATCTACCCAATTTCCATGTACATGACAGCACTTTTAATGAGCAATGACAGTCCAGGAATTTAACTATTAAAACGCGTATCAACAGAAGATCATTATATTGACTACTTTTTTGTTTTGCTCCCACCCGTGGGCCGCAAACAAACAGGGTGCGGACCACCCACAGGCCACATGTTCAATAGTCCTGGAGCAGAGGGAAAAAGCAAGGGCTTTTTGGAATGCAGAATCTACTGTATATTTGAGAGTTTATGTGTCTTTCTGCCTGGCTGTCTGTTCATTCAAGAACTCTTAAATCGCAAGAGCTAGAACCACCCAATTTGATAGACAGCTTTCTCTTATCATAACTTAAAGGAAGGTAAGGGATTGGTTGTACCAGGACAATGGGATGTGCCTAGAATGGGATTGCTTCTCAGAAAACCATAGGAGGAGAGACAGATTCACCAGGCAGGTGAAGGCGGCTAGCTGGGGCGGTGCCCCTCTCCCACTTTTGTGACTGTCCCAGTCACGAGCCTCCCACTCCCCCACCAGTTAACTGAAGCTCCTCCCCCCTCCAGATTCCTATGGAGACATTGCTGGCTGTTCCCCTTTCTCAGGGATCGAGGGGAAAGTGCACACAATGCTGCATTCCTCACTCTGGCTGGGGTGAGCGGGGGAGAGATGCACCTGGACCCTTCCTCCAGCTGTGCCCATTGCAATGGCCATGGAGTGGCTCTTCTCACCTGGCCCCAAACTGCTGCGGTCAGAGAGGGCTGGGACAGGGGAGCCTGCATCCTGAGCCCCTCCTCTCCAGAACAATGATTTAAATGAAGCCTGGATATTTTCATTTTTTTTTAAATGGAAAATAAAGGAGTTAAGGACCCGAACAATGGTGGATACATTCTAGTTGGCATTAAATTCAAGGCAAATACGACGAGTGCAGGAACACTATATTTATTAGGTCAATAATTCATTTTAGCAGTACAATTACAGAATATCACAATGCTGGTTACAAACATACTCGGTATGGTTTGATGGTTACAAATAATGTTGGGCACTGCAGTTTATGAGAAGTAGGATACGAAAGGTTATTGACACAACAAATAGAAGGATCTTCAAAGTCTAGCAATGATCAAGATACGTTCATATAAATTACTGTGGCACTGTCAGTGGGGATTCCGGTTTAAAAGGTTTTCTTGGTTTTAGTATTTTGCTTTAAAACAGTTCAAGCAACATCTTTTTTTAGAATGCTATTAAATTAAAATCCCCCGGAGTACAATAAAATATAAAAATAGTACTGAACCTGGTAATAGTCAATAAAATGTAGAGTTCATTCACATCAGAAAGTAAGGAATAAATGGTAAAGTTTCAGTTACCATGGCAACATTGTTTCCTCTAAAGGAATATACATAAAAAGAAAGTGTTACACGTATGGTACCTGCGACAGTTATTTTGTGATCCAACACTTAACTTGTGCACCACAAACCAAGTTTCTAGATATCTCTCTATATATTTATATAGTATATATTTTTCATCTTAAAATTTACTTTTGAAAAAAAAATGTGCACTTCAACAAATTCACTAAGGCCACTCATGCTATAGATACCTAGGACTGCAATGAAATATTGTTAACAAGACCCTAGAACACGCATCTTGGTATCAGTGAAGGGGAAACCAATTCCACTGCCTAAAACACTCCTGAGATTTGGGGACAAAAGCATTACCAGTGATGTCAAATGTATATGTAGAGTCCAGAGCTCTGGATAAAATCCCTCCTCTTCGTTCCCACAGCAAAAATCTCCAAAAGGCCAAGAAATGAAATGTGCAATAGGCCATTTATGTCAAATATGGAAATAGCCACAATAAACAGAATATTCAGATTTGCAATTAGCACTTGGCCAGCAACACTTTTTCAAAAAATATTAACAATAAAATTGTAAATACAATAAAGTTTCTGCACAGGCAATAAAACTAGAGCCTTTATTTAGTGACCGATAATAGCAACATCCACCAACTATCTTTGCTACCACGCTGTAAAGTAAAATCCAGTCAGTTTTAAAATCAAGTAAAGTTTTTGTCAACATATTCAATCATGTTTTAGGCACAATGCGTTTTCTGTTTTTGTAACTCCACCAGTATGTGCGACTATAAAAAGGTATTTAAATAAAATGTGCATTTTTTTTGTACCATAAGAAGCAGCACAATGGCACCGTTAGCAAATTATAGATCGCAGCATTTTTTTAAATTTAATTGTTACAGTTATGAAAAGAATGTTATTTTCCTAATAAGTTAGAATTCAACAACAAAAAAAACTTTCAAAATTATTTATCATCAACAAAACACTTGTGTGCAAAAAAAAAGAAAAAAAAAAGAAAAGAGTTTAAACAATAGGTATCTATACAATAAAGTAGTGAGTGCATGTAAAGACTTGTATGAAAGAGAAAGGCAGATACTTGTTGGTTATAAGTAACATCACAAAATAAATGACCAACCATTTGGAGCACAATAGTTACTAGCTATTTTACTTCAAGTAAAAGAGGGATATGTGTTTTAAACATCTTGTGACTTTTTCCCCTTGCCTATCTTAAAGTTGCATTTGTTTCTCCCATTCTCTAAAAAACTCCTCCTCAGATTGGGGGTGGGGGAGGGACCCATTCTTACAATTAATGGAGATCGTTTCTGGTTCTAAGAATGGTGGAACAAAAAAAAAATGGAGGAAACCCCAACATCACTTTTTTCCCCTTTCTCTTCCATTTGCAGTGTTTGCATAAAATCGATGATACAGATAAAACCGATTTCACAAAATCAAAGTCTACATTAAAACAAATGTTAGAGCTTTAAATTTAGAAGCAATGCTGAGAAATTTGGTGCAAAGGCTGAAATTCTCTCCTGGGCACACGTGTGTCACTGTATTGCAAATTTTTTTTTTTTTAAATACTTACCTGTAAGTTTAGATCTTTGTTTTTTTTTTAAAATACTTACCTGTAAGTTTAGATCTTTGGACAAAAATATTTCACTGGATTCCCACTCATGGGTCTCCACTTCAAGCCAAAATAAGGCAGTAACTCCTCAAGGTTCTCAAAGCTGTGGATCCTTTAAGGAACTAAAAAGTGCACTTTGCACAGACAAATTGTCAGTGCATCAGTCTTATATAGTGTTTCATAGTTGCCTTCTTGAGATACAAGTGGCAAAAATATTCTTAAATTGCAACACCATACATAAAGCCATAGGAAAATTCCGTCCATTCTAAATAGGATGAGGAAAAAGCATGAATAGATCTTCATGTTAAAGAGATATGGGAGAATGAAGGGCAACTTATTGATGCTTTATCTTTTTCAGGCCATTTTCTTTGCTATCTCATCCACTAGATGCCCGTTTATAGGAGCCTAAAGACCCCCAAATCACTCTGTCTTTAAAATTAAGTGTAAACAACATGCTGCAACAAGGAGAAGGGAACTAAGGGAAATACATGTACCACCACCACACAACAGTCCAACTGACTACACAGGAGAGTAACACTCTGGTAGTAATATCCAGGGTACTAATATCCAGGAGATAATTCAAGATATCCTGAAAAGGATAGGGGCCAGGAAAGCGTGAGCACCACACGCTGGCGAATAGGCTCTGCAACAAGGCAGCACAAGTCAAGATGTCAAGCTGTAGTGCTCAGAACAGGCCACGTGGTGGTCTCATAAGCCTCCTGGATTAAGTCTGCAGCTGCCCGCCCAAGCTGTTCTACTCCGCAAGTATTATGCTTTGACACCACTTAAACTTCAGACTGGTTTGATCAATTAGGGCCCCATTCAGCCATGTACTTCTACCGATTAAATAAAACGACTGGACTGTTTGAACACCTAGCTTTCAAGTCATGTTTCTCTAGGTCACGCACCTGCTGGCAGAATTAAAAACTTCGGGGTAACTTTTAAGATTTCAAATTCCCTCTAGATAAAGCCGCCAGGGCATTACAGAATATAGAATCATCAACAGCACATCTCCATCTAAGCCATCACATAAAGCACATATTGCATGGGCAATACTAAGAAGATACTAGCTATGCTCCCAAAGAGTTTGTGATCTAAATGTTAGGATTCAGACAACAAGGGAAGACAAGAGTTCTTGAGGCAAAATTAAGTTAATCGGGAAAGGCGCTGGAACGATACCGGGGCTGTGGCGTGTTTTGGAAATGGTTGTTGTCCACCGTTAGAAAGGAATTGATGAAAGAACAATAAAGGAGCCTGAGAAAGGGGAAATGGTGATTGTGCACAGGACACCTACCAGTATCTCAGATTAAAAACCCAAACCTTGAGAATGTGGAGTTCCCTCTCAGTTATGAGCTAGAAGCAGAGACCCAAAATTAGGAATCCAGAGCACGTGGAATCCACAGAGAACGTAAGAACAATAATTAAGTCTGAGGCGCCTAGCTAGGGATGTAAAAGGTTAACTGGTTAGCACCACTCTTAATGGGGGATGCTTACCAGTTCCCGTTAACCAGTAAGGGCTGGAGCAGCTCCCTACCTGCCCCAGGTTTGGGGCTGCTTCAGCCCCATGGGATCGGTGCCTCCTCTAATGGGTTAACTGGTTAATCAGCATGTTTAACCAATTAAATGGAATTATACATCCCTAATCTAGGCACTTTTCTAGTACATAGATCATGTATTTTGTTTCCGACAATTTTCAGCTCTTTTCCCTGAATTTCTGAGATTTAAAATAAAAGGGAATTATTTTAAATAGGTTTAAAGGGACTATTTAAAAAAAGTAAAAATAAGAAACCAAGCTCTCATATCAATGTTAATGCATATTATTTACCTGATCATTCATAATTATTCCCTAAATATTTGTTTACGCTTAAGTATTTATTTAGCTGTATTTTATATTGCAAATGTGTTTGGACACAAAAAATCTAGTTTTCTCTTAAACAAAAACTACTATAGAGAATCTTATTAAGATTACATATGACATTATGATAAGCTGGCTTTTGACAGACTGCAATAAATCCATAAACACTATTAAAGTCTTAATGCCACTAGTTATTCTACTGGTGTATGCATGCCATCCCTTACTCTTAATGAAAGAATCACAGCTACACAAGCACTAACGCCACATTTCCAAATTAAGTAATTCATTTTTTCACTTGATGTTCCTCCCCTCAAAAAATACTTGAAGGCACTAGCTTATAAACTATTGGCCTGCAACTTCTCAGTTGAAAACCCAAGCCATTTTTAAGATTATAGGAGCTCAAATAAGTGTCTGAAATCACTAATTTTGTTTGTTTTTGTTTTCTGCACTCTTATAACCTGAAGGGGGGAAAAAAACCTTCATAACAAATACAAAAAATTCACTCCAAGTACTGTAGGAACTTGTTTGCCATGCTTCAACCTGGACTGAATTTTCACAGCCAAGTTATAAACCCCTGAAAATAGGGGGGAAAACTGACAGACCCTTAACTATAGAGGCACTGTTTGTGCCACTATAATAAGAATTGAGGTAAAAGCAATGACTTATTTCTCGTTTGCTACACTACATAGATTTTTCAGATTTTGAATGTTACCTCAACATTAAAACAGACTTGGTTCACTTAAACAAAACAATTCAATAACAAAAATGCAAAACAAAAATTAAGACAAGGTAGTGAGACAGGCTGTGTTCAGGGATCTTTGCATCTGACTGATGCTTTTTAAATTAAATATAGAGGAATCAGTTTCTGGTTGTACTATTGTTTAATGCAGAAATGAAGCATCACAAGAAAAAAAAAGAAAAAAAGAAGACCTGTTGTGCTTTTTTGGCATTTTCCACTGGCCCCTGCAAACTGTACAATAAAATGTGATCTTCAGAAACAAAATTGAACTGGATTATAATACAAAACTATTAGTCGGTATAAACAAGTTACTGCCTCAATTATTAGAGTAAGCCCATTTAAAAAGGAAAAAATGGCTGCAGCAAATAGTTAAGCATTTCTAGTTTTTGCTTATGGCATTGACATTTTAATATCTGTAAAAGCTTACAAGTTGAAGACATGCCATCGCAACTGCTAAAGAACGTTCAATTCCTAGTTTTGTATCTATCACAAACATATTTTTGCATTATCACTGATCGTACACCTAAATGAAATAATTCTACTGTAAAAGTGAATGCAGGGGCAGAAATATTCAATTAAAGCCACTGGTCCAAAGACTCTTTTCAAGACAGGCTGGTCCACTTTTGATTCTCCTGGTCCTCTTACGGAAAATTGTTACAGCTCTTGTACTGTACCAAAGGAAATTTAGATTGCTGGTCTACTGGATCTTCTATCACTTACAGATGAATGCTGGTCCAATTCAGATGATTAAAAACAGCACACGGTGGTTACTTCCATAACAAACTAGCGTGGTTCACAAGACACACATTTCTTTCTGGAGTGGTTCTTTGCCACTTTTCTTCATAAGGCAGCAAACAAAGCTAGGGCATTTCCTCTTTTGTTAATATTTGTCATTAGCTCTGCTACAATGCATAAAGTATAAACACCTTTTTCAATTCTTACAATAGAGTATTTATTACTTTTACTTGTTGGAAGAATTTTTTTGCTGAAACCTTCCTTTCATAATAAGAATGAAGCTCTTTTGAACTCTTAAAAGTTGTAACTAAGGGTGTTTTTGTTTAGGTTTTTTGCAGATTTCCTGCAAAGTAGCTTCTTTTGCAAAAGAAGAGGGGAGGGGTTCTGGTGTTTGGTATTCACAGAGCCAAACTAAACATGCCATACACATGCTGATAAGAATTTAACTCATTCATCTGTATGGGCACTCTTCAATGGACTGGACCAGTGTTTCAATGCAAATCCCAGCCCCCAGAAAACTACATGGTTTAGATTTCACAGTATGAATTCCCCTTGTAATCTGGGAGGGAAAAAAAAAACCCTTAATTGGTTAATTGACCAAGTTCTCTAGCTATTCTGTCCATCGATGTTCTGAGACATCAGAAAAGACTGGACTACTTCTTCAGTGGATTGAGGGCTGGTGCTTACATCCTCCAGAGCATCTGTCACTGAGAACTGCCGATCCCGCAAACGGTTCCAACTGGCCAAAATATTGTGGTACTCAAATACTTTCTCATAATTGCCAATGGAATTGTACAGTTTAATGAGACCTCTATAATCATATTCTAGTCCACTGTAACCTTCTCCAAAAAGCTTCTTTCCTAAAGAAATACAAAAAGAAATGCAAATTGAAGAAAAAGGTAATTTAACCACATGATTCTTCATTTCAGGCCATTTTGCTATTGATAATGTGAACTGAATATTCAATACCTTCTTGGTAGCAGAAGTCAAACTTAGCTCTGAAAACAAGGAGTGCAATGAGTAGTTTCCCTATCACTACTCCCTGGTGCATTTCAACCCTTTTACTTAAATACCCTACTTAATTTCTGGGGCTCTCTCAACCAGATTGAAACGGTGATCCTAATGCAACATGTAAAAAGGGAGTCTGAAGAGGGGGTCTCATAGCATTTATCTACCTTGCCTTACTCCAATGAATTTTGAGCATGAACTGAACTACTTCATAGGACTGCGCTAAGTCTGACATTATAAATTGAATTTTGCCTTAGGTAAAATTCACTGCAAGAGGTGGATGATCAGGAAGTCATAAAAGTGCTGCTGGACATATTGTTTTTTCATGTCTTTGAAGTTCTGGCTACAATTCATGCTTCAAACCATGATAAAATGAACTAAGTAACAGTCAAAAAGCTAAACTCCAAGGTAATTAATTGGACTTTAAGACACTTTCCTAAAGATTTCAAGATTCAATCAGTTTAAAACTAAAAGTTCCAGTTTTGCATTTACTGGTGACTGGAACATTAAAATATGTATTTTGCAGTTCAAGGGTATGCCTCATAGTTGAATTGAATCCACATACAGATTACACAAATGTATTACATCAGCCTTCCTTTCCCCATTTATACTTTTATCAACAAAGAGATCTTTGTTTTATTCTGTCACCATTGCTTAGTAAAGTAATTTGTTCCAAAAATTACACACCGATTGCTATTGATCTCAGATAAAGCTTTTCTGCATTTTCATATTGATTCATGTCATAGTTATAGAGAGACGCTAGATGTCCCACTGACAGGGCGACTTCATAATCTTCTTGACCAAGAAGTTGCTCCTTAATCTGAATTGCTTTGATGTGCATTTCTTCTGCTTCCTGAAAAATTGAAAGCCACATAAATAAGCCAGGACAGACATTACCCACCCCAACCCCAAAACAAAAAAGACAAAGATTCTAATGCATCAAGCATAAAAAGAAGTGATGTAAGTGACTGCTAATCGGAAGGATTCCATAACACTTCTATACTACAGAAGCCTCGAAAAGCTGCAGAATATGCAAAGGACTGGCAATCAAGATCACTAGGCTCTAACAATGACTTGCTGTGTAAGGGTACATCCAAACTTGCTCCCTATCTCGAGGTAAGGATGCAAATGTAGTGTACCAGAATTGCTAATGAAGCGCGGAATTTAAATATCCCACGCTTAATTAACATAATCGTGTCCAGGCACCATTTTGAAATCGCATTATTGCGAACTAAAACGCCCCGTTTTATGAGGAGTAACAGTTATTTTGAAAGAAGGGTTCTCTCTCGAAATAACGCTGCTACACGGGGCATTTTATTTCACAATAACGCGATTTCAAAATGGCACCCGGACACGATTATGCTAATTAAGCATGGGATATTTAAGTCCCACGCTTCATTAGCAATTTCGGTAGACTACATTTGCATGCCTATCTCGAGATAGGGAGCAAGTGTAGATGTACCTTAAGAAAGTAATGTACAATCCTTTTGAGAGGTAAAGCGCTAAGCATTAGGAAATGTTTTCACCTAGCGGTACAGTCAGGTTAAAACAATCAGAAGAACATTAAAAAAAGGTTTACGCTAGGGATGTTAAATTGAGGTTATTTTAGTAATCAAGTAGTTGATAGAATTTTTATTGACTACTAAATAGGGGAAGGCAGCCCTGCTCAGTCCTGACTCGGGCTGGGACCAAACCCTGCTGCATCTCTGCAATTTAAGATGCAGCAGGAGCAGGGGAGGGGAGCAGACTTTCTGGCTCCTATGGCCTTTTAAATTGCAGAGCTGCAGTGGGGTTTGGTCCCAGTGTGAGCCAGGACTGAGCGGAGCTGCCTGCCCAACCAGTAGCAGCCTCTGTCCTTGGAGAGTCCCAGCGGGAAGATGGGACCTCCTGCAACCAGGGGCTGCTGCCACAACAGCCTGTGCTGCCCTTCCCCCGCTGCCTCTATGGAGAGGGAGCAGACACAGTGCTGGAAGTAACCAGCTTTTAAGCTGGCTCCCTTCAGCACTGGCTCCTGTTTCCCCCTCCTTTGTTGCCTCTGATATAAAGGTAGCAAAGGGGGGAAAGAATGCAAGTAGTCAACTACTCTCTTACATCTTACACTCCTCTATTTTTATGGAACTGATAAGTTTTGTGCTGCCTTTAGAGCTACTTTCTGTAACAGCTACTGGTTTTTCTCTTTTCTAAAGGAGAAATTTAACAGCCATCTGGTCTTACCTTAAATTTTCTCATTGACTGATAAAGTCTGCCCAGGTTGCCATAGTGTTTTGCTGTCTGTACATTAAATTCCCCAAAGGCTTTTTTAGCTAACTGGAGTGAAGACAGGTGCAAATCATGAGCTTCTTGAAGTAACCTCTGCTCTGTTTCCTTATTGTGACAGTCAATAGCAATCTCCTCCAGGATAAGTGCTGGATAAGGAAGAGAAAAAAGTCTCACACCAACATGTTCTAGAGATACGGAGACATCAGCAATAGAAAGCAGAATACCATATGGCTATATTTACAAACTACCATGGCATACAATCAAAGAGACTTTCAGTCAGGCTTTGTGTTCCTTGAAAATTGTCTCCCATTAAGATACGGGCTGGATTGTGTGTCTGTTAGCTTTTCAAGTCCATGTGAAACTCAGAGGATTTATAATTTTCAGTAATTTTTTACAAGGACTTATTCATGCTTTACAAATAGAGCTTTGCATTACAGACAGCATTTGAAATAGGTTTTAGCCAGCCTGTCACAACTAATACTTCAAAGCAAAATCTGAGTGGCAAGAAAAAGATACAAAGCCTCCTGTTTCCAGCCATGCTTCAGTTATAGAAACCCCAACAAATTAAGACTCTTCATAGAATTGGCCCCCCATCCTCCCAGCCAAATTCTGTGAACAATCTTAATGTAAGCCAGTTCGTATCTGGTAATGAATACTGGTAAGTATTTGAGAGGACAGAAAAACTGGAATGGCAAGAGGAAGGCAATGACAAAAAAGGAAAAATAAAAGTCTGTTTTTAAAAGAGATAACTATAGGTAAGTGCTACTAGAACTTACAGAGCAAACTAGTTGGTCTCTTTTATTACCCGAGCCTTGTGCAATGTAACTTTCTGATAATGTTCTTGGTCCCTTCAGGCTAAACTCTTACTCAAGCCTGAGGCACAGCTTTCTACTGAGCCCATCAGTGCTACGACCATGTCTGACAGAAGGTGCTGCCAGACAAAAGCAAGAGGCATTTTTCTCCCCTATGCGCTAGGATTGTAAGGGATTCCTCTGTCATGCTCCCCATCCAGGAACTGAATTCGCATTTTTTTTGGTATAAAAAGAAAGCATACAAGACAGAATTATCCCAGCCAATGTCATATTTTCAGGTTCAAAGCTGCTGCAGCCAAGAGGCTGTTATATATATTTGCGAGGAGAAACAGCAGCTGCCTCTCACATTGTGCATATAGTCTAAGCTCCCCTTGGATCCCTGACATTCATCTTCTCTATTTTCATTCTTACATCCCCAGCTCCCAGGATGTGCATCATTTTCTAAGACAGAGAAAACTCCTGAGGCTACCTCTATTCTAACCTCTCATCTCTTCCCTTCCACAGCTACAGGGGTTGGTTACACTGAATATTAAAGAGAACAACATTAAGGATAAGCGTTAAAATACATTTACTTCAATTCTATTGTCACAACAGTAGATTATATTTTCCTCTTCCATGGAAGTTTATTTTGTCTCCCAGACAAAGATTTAACATTTAGTCTCATCACCTGGAAGGTGTGACTGCTCTACTTTCTCCCAATCACTTCACAATTTGGTTCTATGTGTTTGCAGCTGTCTGCAAATCTGATCACAGCTGCATTTACAACAAAAAATAGAAGCACTTGCTTTTTTGCTTTAGCTAGTCAAAAGAAGCCTCTTGAAGTCAAATGAGAACTCTGAACTGCACCTAGTAAGAATAATCACTGCTTGAAGACTGACAATTAGCATAGTGACAAAAATCAGCTCCAGAGAGGAAATGAAGTATTCAGTGCATCACAAATGGTAGGCATACCCTCATCTGAGTACCTCTGCCCCAAAACTAAACATGTGTCTCTAAAAGTGTCTGCTAGGAGACAGAGGACAAGGCCTCCATGGCACTGTTAAGCCACACAGAGACATGGTGTCAAGTATCAGAGGGGTAGCCATGTTAGTCTGAATCTGCAAAAGCGACGAGGAGTCCTGTGGCACCTATAGACTAACTGAAGTGTAGGAGCATAAGCTTTCGTGGGCAAAGACCCACTTTGTCAGATGCATGCAGCTGACGAAGTGGGTCTTTGCCCACGAAAGCTTATGCTCCTACACTTCAGTTAGTCTATAAAAAACCTTCATAACAAATACAAAAAATTCACTCCAAGTACTGTAGGAACTTGTTTGCCATGCTTCAACCTGGACTGAATTTTCACAGCCAAGTTATAAACCCCTGAAAATAGGGGGGAAAACTGACAGACCCTTAACTATAGAGGCACTGTTTGTGCCACTATAATAAGAATTGAGGTAAAAGCAATGACTTATTTCTCGTTTGCTACACTACATAGATTTTTCAGATTTTGAATGTTACCTCAACATTAAAACAGACTTGGTTCACTTAAACAAAACAATTCAATAACAAAAATGCAAAACAAAAATTAAGACAAGGTAGTGAGACAGGCTGTGTTCAGGGATCTTTGCATCTGACTGATGCTTTTTAAATTAAATATAGAGGAATCAGTTTCTGGTTGTACTATTGTTTAATGCAGAAATGAAGCATCACAAGAAAAAAAAAGAAAAAAAGAAGACCTGTTGTGCTTTTTTGGCATTTTCCACTGGCCCCTGCAAACTGTACAATAAAATGTGATCTTCAGAAACAAAATTGAACTGGATTATAATACAAAACTATTAGTCGGTATAAACAAGTTACTGCCTCAATTATTAGAGTAAGCCCATTTAAAAAGGAAAAAATGGCTGCAGCAAATAGTTAAGCATTTCTAGTTTTTGCTTATGGCATTGACATTTTAATATCTGTAAAAGCTTACAAGTTGAAGACATGCCATCGCAACTGCTAAAGAACGTTCAATTCCTAGTTTTGTATCTATCACAAACATATTTTTGCATTATCACTGATCGTACACCTAAATGAAATAATTCTACTGTAAAAGTGAATGCAGGGGCAGAAATATTCAATTAAAGCCACTGGTCCAAAGACTCTTTTCAAGACAGGCTGGTCCACTTTTGATTCTCCTGGTCCTCTTACGGAAAATTGTTACAGCTCTTGTACTGTACCAAAGGAAATTTAGATTGCTGGTCTACTGGATCTTCTATCACTTACAGATGAATGCTGGTCCAATTCAGATGATTAAAAACAGCACACGGTGGTTACTTCCATAACAAACTAGCGTGGTTCACAAGACACACATTTCTTTCTGGAGTGGTTCTTTGCCACTTTTCTTCATAAGGCAGCAAACAAAGCTAGGGCATTTCCTCTTTTGTTAATATTTGTCATTAGCTCTGCTACAATGCATAAAGTATAAACACCTTTTTCAATTCTTACAATAGAGTATTTATTACTTTTACTTGTTGGAAGAATTTTTTTGCTGAAACCTTCCTTTCATAATAAGAATGAAGCTCTTTTGAACTCTTAAAAGTTGTAACTAAGGGTGTTTTTGTTTAGGTTTTTTGCAGATTTCCTGCAAAGTAGCTTCTTTTGCAAAAGAAGAGGGGAGGGGTTCTGGTGTTTGGTATTCACAGAGCCAAACTAAACATGCCATACACATGCTGATAAGAATTTAACTCATTCATCTGTATGGGCACTCTTCAATGGACTGGACCAGTGTTTCAATGCAAATCCCAGCCCCCAGAAAACTACATGGTTTAGATTTCACAGTATGAATTCCCCTTGTAATCTGGGAGGGAAAAAAAAAACCCTTAATTGGTTAATTGACCAAGTTCTCTAGCTATTCTGTCCATCGATGTTCTGAGACATCAGAAAAGACTGGACTACTTCTTCAGTGGATTGAGGGCTGGTGCTTACATCCTCCAGAGCATCTGTCACTGAGAACTGCCGATCCCGCAAACGGTTCCAACTGGCCAAAATATTGTGGTACTCAAATACTTTCTCATAATTGCCAATGGAATTGTACAGTTTAATGAGACCTCTATAATCATATTCTAGTCCACTGTAACCTTCTCCAAAAAGCTTCTTTCCTAAAGAAATACAAAAAGAAATGCAAATTGAAGAAAAAGGTAATTTAACCACATGATTCTTCATTTCAGGCCATTTTGCTATTGATAATGTGAACTGAATATTCAATACCTTCTTGGTAGCAGAAGTCAAACTTAGCTCTGAAAACAAGGAGTGCAATGAGTAGTTTCCCTATCACTACTCCCTGGTGCATTTCAACCCTTTTACTTAAATACCCTACTTAATTTCTGGGGCTCTCTCAACCAGATTGAAACGGTGATCCTAATGCAACATGTAAAAAGGGAGTCTGAAGAGGGGGTCTCATAGCATTTATCTACCTTGCCTTACTCCAATGAATTTTGAGCATGAACTGAACTACTTCATAGGACTGCGCTAAGTCTGACATTATAAATTGAATTTTGCCTTAGGTAAAATTCACTGCAAGAGGTGGATGATCAGGAAGTCATAAAAGTGCTGCTGGACATATTGTTTTTTCATGTCTTTGAAGTTCTGGCTACAATTCATGCTTCAAACCATGATAAAATGAACTAAGTAACAGTCAAAAAGCTAAACTCCAAGGTAATTAATTGGACTTTAAGACACTTTCCTAAAGATTTCAAGATTCAATCAGTTTAAAACTAAAAGTTCCAGTTTTGCATTTACTGGTGACTGGAACATTAAAATATGTATTTTGCAGTTCAAGGGTATGCCTCATAGTTGAATTGAATCCACATACAGATTACACAAATGTATTACATCAGCCTTCCTTTCCCCATTTATACTTTTATCAACAAAGAGATCTTTGTTTTATTCTGTCACCATTGCTTAGTAAAGTAATTTGTTCCAAAAATTACACACCGATTGCTATTGATCTCAGATAAAGCTTTTCTGCATTTTCATATTGATTCATGTCATAGTTATAGAGAGACGCTAGATGTCCCACTGACAGGGCGACTTCATAATCTTCTTGACCAAGAAGTTGCTCCTTAATCTGAATTGCTTTGATGTGCATTTCTTCTGCTTCCTGAAAAATTGAAAGCCACATAAATAAGCCAGGACAGACATTACCCACCCCAACCCCAAAACAAAAAAGACAAAGATTCTAATGCATCAAGCATAAAAAGAAGTGATGTAAGTGACTGCTAATCGGAAGGATTCCATAACACTTCTATACTACAGAAGCCTCGAAAAGCTGCAGAATATGCAAAGGACTGGCAATCAAGATCACTAGGCTCTAACAATGACTTGCTGTGTAAGGGTACATCCAAACTTGCTCCCTATCTCGAGGTAAGGATGCAAATGTAGTGTACCAGAATTGCTAATGAAGCGCGGAATTTAAATATCCCACGCTTAATTAACATAATCGTGTCCAGGCACCATTTTGAAATCGCATTATTGCGAACTAAAACGCCCCGTTTTATGAGGAGTAACAGTTATTTTGAAAGAAGGGTTCTCTCTCGAAATAACGCTGCTACACGGGGCATTTTATTTCACAATAACGCGATTTCAAAATGGCACCCGGACACGATTATGCTAATTAAGCATGGGATATTTAAGTCCCACGCTTCATTAGCAATTTCGGTAGACTACATTTGCATGCCTATCTCGAGATAGGGAGCAAGTGTAGATGTACCTTAAGAAAGTAATGTACAATCCTTTTGAGAGGTAAAGCGCTAAGCATTAGGAAATGTTTTCACCTAGCGGTACAGTCAGGTTAAAACAATCAGAAGAACATTAAAAAAAGGTTTACGCTAGGGATGTTAAATTGAGGTTATTTTAGTAATCAAGTAGTTGATAGAATTTTTATTGACTACTAAATAGGGGAAGGCAGCCCTGCTCAGTCCTGACTCGGGCTGGGACCAAACCCTGCTGCATCTCTGCAATTTAAGATGCAGCAGGAGCAGGGGAGGGGAGCAGACTTTCTGGCTCCTATGGCCTTTTAAATTGCAGAGCTGCAGTGGGGTTTGGTCCCAGTGTGAGCCAGGACTGAGCGGAGCTGCCTGCCCAACCAGTAGCAGCCTCTGTCCTTGGAGAGTCCCAGCGGGAAGATGGGACCTCCTGCAACCAGGGGCTGCTGCCACAACAGCCTGTGCTGCCCTTCCCCCGCTGCCTCTATGGAGAGGGAGCAGACACAGTGCTGGAAGTAACCAGCTTTTAAGCTGGCTCCCTTCAGCACTGGCTCCTGTTTCCCCCTCCTTTGTTGCCTCTGATATAAAGGTAGCAAAGGGGGGAAAGAATGCAAGTAGTCAACTACTCTCTTACATCTTACACTCCTCTATTTTTATGGAACTGATAAGTTTTGTGCTGCCTTTAGAGCTACTTTCTGTAACAGCTACTGGTTTTTCTCTTTTCTAAAGGAGAAATTTAACAGCCATCTGGTCTTACCTTAAATTTTCTCATTGACTGATAAAGTCTGCCCAGGTTGCCATAGTGTTTTGCTGTCTGTACATTAAATTCCCCAAAGGCTTTTTTAGCTAACTGGAGTGAAGACAGGTGCAAATCATGAGCTTCTTGAAGTAACCTCTGCTCTGTTTCCTTATTGTGACAGTCAATAGCAATCTCCTCCAGGATAAGTGCTGGATAAGGAAGAGAAAAAAGTCTCACACCAACATGTTCTAGAGATACGGAGACATCAGCAATAGAAAGCAGAATACCATATGGCTATATTTACAAACTACCATGGCATACAATCAAAGAGACTTTCAGTCAGGCTTTGTGTTCCTTGAAAATTGTCTCCCATTAAGATACGGGCTGGATTGTGTGTCTGTTAGCTTTTCAAGTCCATGTGAAACTCAGAGGATTTATAATTTTCAGTAATTTTTTACAAGGACTTATTCATGCTTTACAAATAGAGCTTTGCATTACAGACAGCATTTGAAATAGGTTTTAGCCAGCCTGTCACAACTAATACTTCAAAGCAAAATCTGAGTGGCAAGAAAAAGATACAAAGCCTCCTGTTTCCAGCCATGCTTCAGTTATAGAAACCCCAACAAATTAAGACTCTTCATAGAATTGGCCCCCCATCCTCCCAGCCAAATTCTGTGAACAATCTTAATGTAAGCCAGTTCGTATCTGGTAATGAATACTGGTAAGTATTTGAGAGGACAGAAAAACTGGAATGGCAAGAGGAAGGCAATGACAAAAAAGGAAAAATAAAAGTCTGTTTTTAAAAGAGATAACTATAGGTAAGTGCTACTAGAACTTACAGAGCAAACTAGTTGGTCTCTTTTATTACCCGAGCCTTGTGCAATGTAACTTTCTGATAATGTTCTTGGTCCCTTCAGGCTAAACTCTTACTCAAGCCTGAGGCACAGCTTTCTACTGAGCCCATCAGTGCTACGACCATGTCTGACAGAAGGTGCTGCCAGACAAAAGCAAGAGGCATTTTTCTCCCCTATGCGCTAGGATTGTAAGGGATTCCTCTGTCATGCTCCCCATCCAGGAACTGAATTCGCATTTTTTTTGGTATAAAAAGAAAGCATACAAGACAGAATTATCCCAGCCAATGTCATATTTTCAGGTTCAAAGCTGCTGCAGCCAAGAGGCTGTTATATATATTTGCGAGGAGAAACAGCAGCTGCCTCTCACATTGTGCATATAGTCTAAGCTCCCCTTGGATCCCTGACATTCATCTTCTCTATTTTCATTCTTACATCCCCAGCTCCCAGGATGTGCATCATTTTCTAAGACAGAGAAAACTCCTGAGGCTACCTCTATTCTAACCTCTCATCTCTTCCCTTCCACAGCTACAGGGGTTGGTTACACTGAATATTAAAGAGAACAACATTAAGGATAAGCGTTAAAATACATTTACTTCAATTCTATTGTCACAACAGTAGATTATATTTTCCTCTTCCATGGAAGTTTATTTTGTCTCCCAGACAAAGATTTAACATTTAGTCTCATCACCTGGAAGGTGTGACTGCTCTACTTTCTCCCAATCACTTCACAATTTGGTTCTATGTGTTTGCAGCTGTCTGCAAATCTGATCACAGCTGCATTTACAACAAAAAATAGAAGCACTTGCTTTTTTGCTTTAGCTAGTCAAAAGAAGCCTCTTGAAGTCAAATGAGAACTCTGAACTGCACCTAGTAAGAATAATCACTGCTTGAAGACTGACAATTAGCATAGTGACAAAAATCAGCTCCAGAGAGGAAATGAAGTATTCAGTGCATCACAAATGGTAGGCATACCCTCATCTGAGTACCTCTGCCCCAAAACTAAACATGTGTCTCTAAAAGTGTCTGCTAGGAGAGACATGCTAAACCTCAAATTCAGCTAGCCACATGGCAGAACATTGGCTGACCCACCACATAATTCCCTTTAAATCCACATAGAATTTAGAATTCGAGATAAGCTGCAAGTGTATAAAACAACAATGAAAACACAAGAAACTTTATTTGAATCTTTACTTTCTAGGAAAGGATCTTTAGAATACAGTTTTTATTCCCAAACCAACAGACCTGCTACTTGGCTGTAGGGGGAGGTAGAGGAGCAGATCAGAGTTAGACTACCTGTATTGGACAACAAACACAAATACAACCCAATAATGCTCTGGCATTGTAGCTACATGGGCTACCTTTAACTCTCTTGGAAGAGGCCAAGAGAAGATGATCTTCAGGAAGAATGTGCGTGATAATGCCAATAGCACGTTCAGCATGGAATCTGGAACAAGTACAAATACATACATTTTTAATAGAGTTATCTTATTCTCTAAAGTTTACATCATATGTTAAAGCCAGAAATGTTAAGCCAAAAAAGGAACCTATAAAGTACAGGAACTCAGTTGAACCTTTATACAAACTAGAGAGATTTAATTAGTTTCTAGAAATCCATTTGCAAATTATATATAAAGCACATTTCTTCCCATTTACTGGACCAAATAAGCGAACAACATTTTCTTGCTGCTTAGAACAGCCACAGTACTCACAGTGCATTGTCAAATTTTCCAGAACTATACTGGTGAACGTAAGAAGAATAAGCCAAGTCTTCATGAGCTGTAGCTACATGGATGTTTTTACCTCCAAACACTGACTGTCGGATATCAAGAGCTGTCTGAAATAGTAACAGGAAAAACCCCTTACATTGTGAACATATCCTGAATTTCTATCATGTTTCTAAATCTCAAGAACTACTAGCTCTGGACAGAAAATGTACATTGAGATACCATTGTTACTGTGGCTCAGAAATGTATCATTAAAGTGGAAATTCACTTTGAGTCTCTAAAAGGCTGTGTCCAGACACAGGGGTTTTTTCGAAAAAAGTAGCCTAGACTGCAGCCGTGTTCTTTCAAAATTAAATCGAAAGAATGCGGCTTTTCTTTCGATGGCGGTAAACCTCATTTCACAAGGAAGAATGCCTTTTCTTTTGAAAAAAGGCGTTCTTGAAAGCAAACAGGGCTTTTTAGAAAGAGAGCATCCAGACTCACTTGCTGCTTTCTTTCGAAAAAGCGGCTTGCTTTTTCGAAAGTTCCGCGTGCAGTCTAGATGCTCTCTATCGAAAGAGACTTGCAGTCTAGACATAGCCCAAGAAAGGATACTTGAAAGATTAAATGCAAAATGATAGTCTAAAAGTATCAATGACGCTTCCAAGATAGGGTAACTACACAAAGATTTTTGCAAACAAACATTCTAAGAATTGTATTAGGGTAACATTGTAAATGTTCCTGCAAGATTAGTTTGTTTATTTTTGAAGGGAAAAAAATACTTTTTAGAGATGAAGATTTATACAACAGACAAACTTCAACATACTCCACTTCAGGAACACAGTTGTAGTTTGTCTTAAATTACTAGGTTTAATTTTTCACCAGATAAAGTTAAACCAAAATAAATTGCTCTATCTAAAATGTGCACAAATGCATGCTACTTTACCTTTTCATATAAACATGTTCTAAGAAAGTTTGTGACTTGATTTGAGAAGCAAAGAAATGACCAATACAAAAAATTAGTGACTTCTAGTTCAAAATATTAGCAAGCCAGAAAGAAAAGGGCGTATACATATATATGTACATACATCCCTACTGCAAAAAAGCAAACACATAAGAAATGAAAAAAATCTAAGAACTACATTACTGTATACAAAAAGCCTTTGAAGTATTAAAAAAAACACACCGCAAAAAAAATTCTCAGCTACCCCTAAGACAGCTGTTACATGAGCTCAATAGAAAATACTTGAATGACTAACAACATTAAAAAGGTAACGGAGACAGGACACTGCAACTTACCTGATAGATTGCAACAGACTGACATATATTATCTACGTTGAGCAAGTAAAATCCATAGTCTAAGAGAGTGTCTGAATATTTTGGGTGTTTGGCTCCAAAATGCTCCCTGGAAAAACAAAAATGTTAACAAGTAGCAGTAACGGAGGATAGTTTGAATAGTATTTTCAATAGTGCTACTTACCGTGCTAGATATACTGCATGTTTTATTAACTGTTCAGCTTTCTTAAATTCACGTTTTACAACACAAGCCTAACAAGACAGGAAATAAAGTTTACATGAGACTGTATTTTGAAAGCACTTCTGTTCTACATATTAACTTACTCATCTTCTAGTACCTTCAGTTTCAAAATATTCACCACCATTACCTAAAGCATTTTGAAGTTAAATTCAAGAAAATCTTCCCAGACATTTGCCATTATTTCCAGGTAAAGAAGAAGAAGAAAAAAGAGAATATGAGTACAGGAGGATTCTGTGCCCCCCAACTTGCAGCACAGGGAGAGACAGCATGTAGTACGGAACAACCGGCTATGAGGAAGTTTAGTGTTTGTAATTTTAAAAGATGTGCCAAGTCGTCACTGATCTAAAATTCAGGCAGTTGGTTTTAGGTACTAAATAGAGGTTGACAATGTAACTAGGTAAACTGGATACCATCCCACTAAACTGAAACAGGTTATTCAAGTGTTCTATATGCTTTAAAATACACTAATTTAATATACACTTGCCTTGATAGATCTCATTTTTAACTATGCTGTAACTAGACTGAACGTTAAATTTACCTTTGATGCCTGTCTTAAGACATCCACCACTACTTTTACTGGCAAGCCAACTTTGATCTCCTTCATAGCTTCTATACACCACTTGTAAGCCTGTGGAATAAAAAGATATCAGCATAATGAACACTGAGCTCAACTGTGCTGAAACATTAGGAAAATATAATTTTACCCTCATAATAAAAAGAGACTGCTTTTTAGAGCACGTTTTGATTTAGAAATAAAGTTTCTCTAAAACTATTACTTAAGCCTGAATTTTGGAATATTTCTTGTTTTGCATCTAGGAAAACTAAGAGCAATTAAGTGACTTCCTTGAAATCATATAAAGAGATAATAGCCAAGTCAGCAACAGGACTCAGGATCTCTTGGAGACTGTGCAGTCTTGTATACTGCATCATGACCTAGACCTGTTCTCTAGACATTCTTTTTAGAAGGAAAAAGAGCAAACATATACATGTTTGGTTCTACTTACAAAGATCAACTACACGTTTTTACTTAATTTTACCTGGATAATAGATCAATTCTTAGATCAATTCTTCAAGTGTTTTCTAACATATCAAGTTGAAAAATTGTAAAGTAAGCCTAATTTGATTTTAACTGTACAGATGTGATTTATTTTGCAGTAACATTTGAAAGCATGATTTTGTTTTGGGCAAGAGGAAAATAGTATGTTTTTACTGTTATGTTTATGATGTACATAATATTTGGACTTTCCAATCAGGTTTAAAATATTTACGAACTGAAAACAGGCACAGCTTAATACAGTTTTACTGAAATCAGTTTCACACACAAAATAGTCATCTTGTTCTGCTATACTCATCAATAAAGTGACAGGATTTTATTTTGCAATGTGCAGTAGAATTTCAGTGTGATGAACACCTTAGGAATGGAAGCTGTTCATAACTCTGAAGTGTTCATAACTCTAAAATGTTACAGTTGTTCTTTCAAAAGTTTACAACTGAACATTCACCTAATACAGCTTCAAAACTTAACTATGCAGAAGAAAAACGTTGCTTTCCTTTTATTTTTTAAGTAGTTTGTTTAACACAGTATTGCACTGTATTTGCTTTCTGGTCTCTGCTGCTGCCTGATTGGATATTTCTGGTTACAAATGAGGTGTGTTGCAGACTGGTCAGTTCACAACTCTGGTGTTCATAACTCTTGAGGTTTTAATATAGCTATTTGTGTAACTAATGTGAAATATCTAACACAAGAAATTACAGGCAAATAGTTGGCTATAAGCTACCTGATATAGAGAAACTAGTACAGGCAGTCCCCGGGTTACGTACAAGATAGGGACTGTAGGTCTGTTCTTAAGTTGAATTTGTATGCAAGTCGGAACTGGTACATATTGTAGGGGAAACTCTAGCCAAACATTTCTCCAGAGCTCAGTTTTATTCTCCCACACCTCACTTCCCTCAGTCCTTTATTCTCAAGCTTTATTCTCAAGACCCTCCTTCCAGCCGACAACGGGGTGTTTTCTCACTGCGGAGGATGCAGGTGGCGGGACCGCGGCGCGTCTCAGCGGTCCCGCCGCCCGCGTCCTCCATGGCGAGAAAAGCCGCTCTGCGTCTCCCTGGTCTGCTGGGGGGGGGAAGCGCCCCCTGCGCCGTCGTAGGCGGTGACAGTGGGGGAGGCACCCCGCACTAGCTGCGCCCTCCTCCTCCCGTTTGTAACTAGGGATCCGATGTAAGTCGGATTGATGTAACCGGGGACTTCCTGTATAGCTTTCAAGAAAATGGAGGGGAGGGAGAAATAATTTAAAATGTGCTCAAATATAAATATAAATAATTAGGGAGTTTCTTCATTTATGTAGTTCCTAAAGCCAAGTCATTTTAATTATTTGGAACAACCATTTCTTAATTGTATACAACAGCGTAACAGTTTTCTGAACTGTTTTCTACCAGTATTTGTAGGTTCTGCAACCCAACTGTACTTCATGCAAGGTGATAAAAAAAAAAAAAAAAAAAAAAAACCATAGAAGTTTTACTTTAATTAAAGTAAAATCGGTCCCCTTATGATTCATGTTAATTGATAAAAATAAAGTATACTACCAGACAATCTAGCACAGTGTTTCTTAAACTTTTTAAGAGAGAGGAACACAAAACAATTTTTTTTTTTTTATGAGAAACACCAAAGATTTTTTTTTTTTGAGAAAGAAAAAAAAAGGGGGGAGGAGAGGAGTTATTGAGAGAAAAAAAGGTTGCCATTTTGAACTCTGTTACTCTCCGTAGCACAGTTTAAGAAACACTGATCTATCATGTATCAGTGCCCACTCCCATACCATATCTGTGGGGTCTCTCTCAAATAGCAAAGAAAATATTTTAAAAACCACACGGTAAAAAAATATTTTTCTGTTCACTTCACATACATCCATGTTTGTTCAGGCATCTTTGTCAGAAAACCATCCCAGGCTACCCATTGAGTCAGTGACAGGGAATCAGAACTGGGCTAATGAAAACTTCCCTAAAGAAAACACAATACCACTCACCTCATCATAATGGCTCTTTGCAAAGAGCAGTGCACACAACTCCCCATAAAGTGCTGCTTTGTTTGCCTTTTGACCATGTTTTGCAAGTTTGTCCATATAAGATTGAGCTTGTTTGAATGTTTCTTCTCCCAAGTGGTATTTGCAGTTGCCATTTCGAACATGCAACAACCTGAGGAAAATATATTAAAATTGTCTTGGAATATGAAAAATATATTAACAAGATCTTGGAATAGTTAGTACTATTTCTAAATAGCTTTTCATAATTGATTTCAATGTACAGCAGTATCAAACATCTGTACTCTGATCTCCTAAAATTATTCTTGGGTTGTGCAATTGCCACCTCATAAAATTATTTCTGCTTTGAATCTAGTGCTGAAGAAACATCAAACAGCGCTGTTTGTACTCTGCAATGCTATGTTTTCGGTTGAATCTTTACAAAACAATTTTTACTATTCATACATACATCAATAAAGTGTTCAGATGTTTTAAAAACTTTGAAATATTTGGGCTTTTTTGGTAACCTTAATAAAACCCATTCTGCTACACACTGATACAACTATCTCCAACACAACAGTTCTCTGTCAAAGCAAAAACTATTTGCTAATTTTCTTTGCCTCTTCACTTTCTCTACAAATGTATCCAATCCTCATTTCAACAGCACTGTATCTCTCAGTCGTACATGTAGAAGTAGGTCCACAAGAGGCTTACATAATATCCTTGACACACTTTAAACCATATTCTTTTAAAAGATAAATTCCCTATTTGTAAAGGCAGGGATGACAATGTTATTTGGACTTGATCTAAAAAGTTCTGTGTTAAAACATGCCCACAATAGTATATTGCTGCCTTTAAGCGTATATTGTAATAGTGATAGTAGTCTTCACTATATTGGAAGAAGTCTCATCTAGCTCAAATAGACAAAAGAATAACTTATTCTTAATTGCTATGATCATAGTTGCTCTAGAAATGCATTTGCTAGGTAGATAACACTTTGCATTCCAAATATTAATGAGTGTTTCCAGTGTATGTGTTTAGAGTAGGGGTGTGAACGTGCACGTGTGTACACGGTTAACTGATGATTGGCCAACAGTCACACACAGCCCCCCTCCCTTGTGCTACTGCCTGTATCAGAGGCAGCAGCATGGGGGAGCGGGCTTTTAACTCCACCCCCCACACATACCAGCTTTCATGGAGCAGACTCCCCCTCACCAACCCCCCATGTGGAAACGTTTAACTGCTGAAATTTTCAGCAGTTACAGGTTTACATAAATAAATGCATTTTAGCATCCTTAGTTTGAACAAGTTAGGTTAATAGTGGAAGCCACAAAAAAGTACAGGACTCCAATATTTATTTGGTAGAAAATTCCTCAGAACAGTTTAAATGTACTTACAGCAAAAAGAAAAAAATGTTAAGACTGAACTCTTACTCTAAGTTGTTAGGAAATGGCAGATTTATGCAATTGTTTGTTCTCGCCAATTAGCGCCTAAATGGGGTGTAAGCGACTATTTGATAAGCAAAAGCTTATTGGACAGTTGACACACTAGTCGACTAGTTGCATCCCTCCTTGCTGCCTCTATCACACAGAGACAGTGGGGAAGGGGGGGAGTGGAGGTGGTACTGGGGTTCCCCAAAAGCTGGTTCCCCCCAGCTACAGCTCCGTGGCGGGGTGCTCCAACTTTGAAATAAACACGAGTCCCCACTAGGACTCATGTACATTTCAAAGTTGGAATTGGGGATGTGAAGGACTAGTCCACTATCCAATAAACAAATGGGGAAGCGCCACCTGGAGTCAGCAGGGAGTCCTCAGTTCACCCTGGGTTCCATGTAGCATTTCAAAGATTGAAATGTACAAGAGCCCCAACTGGGGCTCTTGTACATTTCAGAGGTGAAATATGCAAGCTCTTAACTAATCGAATAGTTGATGGAAATCCCATTGATTAATTAATTAATTGAAATTTAACATCTCTACTACAAATGCAGCTGACTTCAAGTTTACAGTTTGTCCTTAATGGCTATGGAGTGTGAATAACTAAGTGCATGCAAGAGTTCTAAATGGTGGATGAAAAACAGTGGTTTCCATGTTGAGTCATTTTGTATAACAATGGTTACTATCATAGGAGTTGATGGCGACCTTGGAGCACCCACCCCCATTTGGGACAAATAGAATCAGCAAAAATAAAGGCCAGGGAAGGAACTCATAAAAATAAAACAAACTCAGATTTTTCCCTCATCTTCCATTCTGGCTCTGGCATGTTTCAATCTACAGGATTAACTAAGGCTTTGGGAGACGAAGCGCCCAGCTCCAAACAACAAATGCAGCAAGACTGAAGCCTGCTCTCTCTCTCTCTGGGAATTGTTGTTAGCTTACAGAATCATCTATGTAAAATAGAAACACAATGTTTCTGTAATTTTAAATTGATGTTTATTAATCTTTTTAGACATTAGAGATGTGTCTCGTTTGTCATGTTCCAAGTCTAAAAGACAGAAATATTTCCTTATCCAATCATAGGCTAAGAAAAGAGACAGCTGCCTGGTTTTAGAACATGTGACGAGTTTTTGGAAGATGAATATCTCCTTTGTACATCCTAGAAAGGGGTAATATATTTTGACAGGTACTGAGAAAACATAGTGAATCATGAGGATGACCTACTGTAGGAAACACAGACAAACAGTCAAGTGAAGTGGAAAAAAAAAAAAAAAAAAAAAAGATATAAAAACAGGCTCCTCAGTGTGAGCCCTGAAAGCCCAGGCTGGCTGGCAGAGGCCAGCCACAGATTTTTAACTGCAGTGTAGGCACACCCTATGAGGTTATGGTGGATTTTCTCATACTCCATCCAGGAAAAAAAGGGAAGGATGAAGCTTATGGCTGGATTCTCCTCCCTCGCTTCTAAAGCCAAGGGCCTGTGACCATTAGCTAGAGGTTTTTAAAGTTATTGCTGTAATGCCTCCAGTAACAGCTATGTAATAAAGCTAAATGCACCTGATAAATGAATGCATCCAGCACACCTTCCCCCTTCCAACTATTCACTCTAATGAAATGCATCATGCTAAATTCTAGCACTAATTCCAGACAAAGAAATCTAGTTCAAACTTTCAGCATGAAATCCAAGCTTAAGGCAGGTGTATTCCAACCATACACACTGCTACAAAAAAAGAACAAGCCCTACAAATAGACACCAACTGTCCAGCTAACTACAAGATATTTACAAATGACATCAAAGCTAACTAATAGAAAATGCCATGCAGAAGAAGGAACACTGATATATAAAACCTTCACATGGAATAGGCTGGTAACAAACTTAGCATCAAAATGGAAAATATGCAACAATTAGATAACAATGACGCAAACCATCTGAAACAAGCACATTGCATGCTGCCCAACTTTTATCACCAAATGTAACAGGAAAACCAACCTATAAGGGCTGATCTACATAAAAACTTGCATGAATATAACAAAAGATGAGAATTTAAAACAATTTACTTTGCGTGCTAGATTACCAGTAGATACTTATTTGAGAACGAAGGTGACTAGAGACAGTTTAGCTACAGTAAACCAAACTCAAAATAATGGAAGATTAACAACTCCAAGAAATGTTATGCCCATTAACAAGGGTAGCCGGTTTTCAAACGAACACCCAGTCGAAAAGGGATCCTCCTCAGCCCAGTGAAAATGAGCGAGAGAGTTGAGGGAGGGGGATGGAGTGAGAGGGGCAGAACCTCAGAGAACTGGGGTGGGAGAGAGGACAGTAAGGGTGTTTGGTTTTGTTCAGTCAGGAAAATCAAAATTCAAATAAAATAAAAGCACATCTGAAATCCTGAATGCAGGTGAATTTAGCAAGACAGCTAGGCAGGTATTCACAATAGAATGTTGCATGGCATATATAGAAATATATGTATGCAATTCCTATTGTAAGCAACAATAAACCAGAAACAATTACTAGAACAAGGAGGAAAAAGCAACTTTGCATCACTAAATCAGCATGCGAGATGAACAATCAACAACAGACTGCTGAAGGAAGGACACTGCAGCGACACAGTCCTCCATCTGGCAATGTCACCTTATACATCACAAGGCACAAAGCCAGTTAAAGGAAAGATAAAAAGCTTTTTAAAAAATGTATCCAAAATGTGATGGGAATATTAAAAGACTAGTAATTTCAGCTGACCCAGTGTTAGAGTACTGTTATCGTATGTATCATGGAACCTAATCAGATGTGAATAGTGGCTCACATAAACATAGCTCCTTTCCTGAGTGATGCTGCCTGGGATACTAGTGGGGCCAAGGGGTATGACCCCCACCCCCAAAAATTCACAAGGATGGGGGAGGCGAGAAGTGGAGCAAGATAGCCTTAGCTTACACTGCTCTCCAGGCTCCTGGCCATATCCGTCTGCTTCCTGCCAGCAACTGTGGGGGTGATTCTCCCCCGCCCCTGAGCAATGTGCCAGGAAATGGGGGAGCAGAGTGAGCTAGGGCCATATCCCTCTGCTTTCCACCACCACTGCCAGGGAGTGTGTGTGTGTGGAGGGAAGACGCTGACTCCTGCTGCCAGCACCAGGCTTCCCCACTTGTCCGTCCCCCCCGCTGCTCAGTGGTTCTGGCCCTCCTGATAGTTGGCTCCTTGCCCCTTCTACCCGCAGTGGGGGCACAAGCGCCCCTCCCCCCCACGTTGCCCCTGGGTTCTGAGAACCACTACAGGACAAGAAAAACCCCACTAAATCTGGAGTCACATGATCAGTTGTGATGAGTTAACTTCTGTAGCCCCTCTAATCCAGTGTCTGGCCACAGGCAATAACCATTATCTGGAAGCTTCAGTCAAAGATAATAAATCCTTTTAATATACCAGCTGGGCTTTGTAATTTGATCTAATTGTATGTGGGGGGAAGTGGAAGGAGGGGAGGAAGAGGAGAGGGGAGGAAATGTAAATCCCTATCAAAAGCCTGGGATTTTAGAAGATCAATACAGAACTAGAATAAGACATGTTGGGACATTTGAGAGTAATCAAACTTATACTAGTGATCTATTTGATGACTGCCTGACTAGTCTCTTGAGAACCATCTCATTTTATTTGTCTTCATAAATGTTTTTAAAAGAAACAAAACCTTACCTGTGCATGCACACACCCTTTTGTAGAAATTTAGACTCCAGAAAGTGTTCAAGTGCTAGCAGACTGAAGTGCAAGTGTTATAGCAATTTGAGGCGTTAGCAGAAGGTTGAACCAAAGAAGATGAAGTGGGAAGTCTAGACCAATTGGCTATATTGCAAAGTTAAGTGCAGAGGTGGCCAACCCATTACAGGCAAAATAGTGGTGGACATAGTGCAAAGAGCCAAGGGAAAAATGTTGTCAAGAAAAAAAAAAAAAAAAGAATATGACCCTTTAAATGAAAACTCAAACTCCGGTTTGGCTTTTTGGCCACATCAGGCCCCCATCTGGCAGATGGCTCCCCTGTACCTGGTGAGCCCAGGGAACCAGGGGCCCTTTCTGGGATACAGGGGCGGCTTTGCGGGTTGCACTTTGTGAGCCGCACGCTGGCCACCCTGGTTTAGTGTGTACACACACACACACACACACACACACACACACACACACACCCCCCCCCCCGTACAAGGGGAAGAAAATATGTTTCATAGCAATAAAGAAATTACATTTTCCTCTATGTTATTCGTAGTAATTTACTACAGCAGGTTCCACTAGTTCTAATATATGTGGGAAGCGAAAACTACACTGTTTCAAAGTAATCCAAAACAATATTTCTTCAATATTTTAATCATAATGATAAATAAAACATCCTGAATAAAAAGCCCAAACTTAAAAACCAGTAACAATTGGACTCTACATAATTATGTAGTTCGCTTTTTGTTCCTGAGTTAGGTGAGCAGGCTTAAGTTCCTCAGTTTTATCTAAATTTTTCAGTTTTAATCTTTCCCAGATACTTCATGAGATCTGTTGTCCCTAAACAGGTATTGCTGGCTGCCCTACATAACAGAAAACATCTAGACTGCTGGCTTGTCACGAAAACATGTTCAGCTTTTAAACTCCTTGCTCTCTTGCTGAGTAATAAGGCAAGCAGTTCAAAAAATATGGGCATAAGAGTCTTCAACCTGGCTGTGTCTAGACTTTTCCGTAAAAGGGACGCAAATTAGACACATCGCAATTGCAAATGAGGCGGGGATTTAAATCCCCCCGCTTCATTTGCATAAACATAGCTGCCGCTTTTTTCCGGCTCGGAGCTTTGCCGGAAAAAAAGCGCCAGTCTAGACGGGGATCTTTCGGAAAATAAAGCCTTTTCCGAAAGATCCCTTATTCCTCTTTTAAAAAAGGAATAAGGGATCTTTCGGAAAAGGCTTTATTTTCCGAAAGATCCCCGTCTAGACTGGCGCTTTTTTCCCGGCAAAGCTCCGAGCCGGAAAAAAGCGGCAGCTATGTTTATGCAAATGAAGCGGGGGGGATTTAAATCCCCGCCTCATTTGCAATTGCGATGTGTCTAATTTGCGTCCCTTTTACGGAAAAGGGATGCAGTCTAGACACAGCCCCTCAGTATAACTAAATAATCTCTCTCCCATTATATATCTCATGTTAAAAAGACGCAGTATCAAAATTCCAGTATCACCAGGTGTGCACAAACTAGAAATATGAATATGCCCATCAATTTGTCTCTTTCAGTGTGTAAATATATTTTATTGCCTTTTTTCCTTTGCTCTCGATACCCAGGTGTCTAGCTCCCTAACTACTATCATGTTTGCATTGTTTGCTCTTTAGGGTGGTGCCACATTTATACTTAACTTGCCGATGGCACTTCTGGGTGCTCAAAAATAAACAAAATTTTCCTCCCTCCAAGACACTGGTGAGAAGTTCAGAGCATCTTTCTATTCTTACTCAACTATATTTTTATAAAATATTTATGTCTTTCTTATACATCCCCTCCCTGACAATCAAGGATTATTCGTTTTGCAGTCATATTTCTCTAGTTTGAAATTCTTTGTTTCTTATGTGAAGAACAAATTAAGTTCAGAAGGCTCCAGCTTCTGTGTGTCCCTTCTCACAAGCGATTTGTAGCTAAATCTTTTCTTTTGAGACTAAGTAAGATAGTGGCCACTGTCTCCAATGAGGCAAAAATATAGATGTTGAGAAACACAGCAAAAATGTGTTCTATATTTAAACATATCTGGCTTCCTTGAAAACCTTTTGTAGGCAGAATATGGTCATTAGATTCAACAAGTTAAATTTTTGTAAAAAAACCCACCACAAACCAGCCTTATCATAATTTGCAAAGAATGATGCGACATACTGTTTTGTGAGGTTCTATAGTCTTTGAATCATTTCATTTGCTAAAGTTCAGCAAGAACTCCATGACCATAGTCATTTTACAGTGAACAGTGATGATCAATTGCAAAAAGCTATTTACAAATCATCTTATATTTGAAGTGTGGTAAATGTGGAGTAACTAGTGTCATGTTATTAAAAACTAGCACAGATTATATTCTAAAATTTCCATATTACCAGGAGCCACTTTTAGGAGACTAGTGTCAAATTTGCCTGCAATATACCTGGGAGATCTGAACGCATGATTTGATTAAATTTCCTTTAATTAAAAAAAAAAAATCCAACTTTTCTAATATATTGGCAAAATAGTTAGAACAGGGAATTCTGCAGTGCAAAATGATCCAACAGTAACATTAATTAATGTATTTCAGTGTCTCATGCCTTTGAAGTTGCAATTATTTTCACTTCACTCCACCTATTCCCTTCCTTTCCCTCCCTCAAAAAAAAGGGGGGGGGGAGGGATTAAAATTGAATGTGTATAGCATTAGTAAAGACGGCTTCCTGGCCTGGCTATTTGACAGATATATAATTTGAACTGCCTGAACTATAGTGTTATTTTATTGTTTGTGGTTTGGCTGAACATAAACAAGTATTTCCTTTCATACACTTCTGTCAAGGCACTTCATATTAAAAGCTAAGGGCCTCCCTGCACTACAAGAATCATAGTTGTGCCTGTGCTGCCATAATTAACCACCATGATTAAGGGCAGACATATTGCATAACAAATCTAGGGTTTTGTTGCGAACATGAAAAGAAAACATGATTCTATAATTGTGTGGGTTCGAATACTGTTCCCTAATAGGAAAAGACACTTTTGTTTTGCTGTCTACACACGCAATTAAAAAAAAAAGAAAAGAAAAAGAAAACCTAATCCTGCCGTACAACTTTGAGAGTGCAGAGTTATTCTTGCAGCATAAAGAGGCTAACTGCACATGCTTTTGCTAGTTTACTATTGGCCCATCAGTACTTTTTGAATTGAAAGCTACTGAAGCTGAGTCCTACTGATGAAACATACGTCACTTCCTACTATGTAGCACAGTGGGCTGCACTGTGCAGTGTTGTGCTAGAATACACACTTAATGGTAATGTAAATAAGCATGACACAGTATTTAATATCTTTGATAATCCTCTAGATGTCTAAAGAAGAAGTGGGTTGTGGCCACGAAAGCTCATGATACCATCTACATGTTTTGCTAGTCTTTAAAAAGTGCTACTAGACTATTCCTTGTTGTTGTAAGTTTTTCCTATTACAGACTAACTCAGCAACCCCTCTGAAGCTAAAGAAAAGTAGGTACTATTCTTGCACTATTTACAGTGAAAACCAAAGAGTGGGTAGGCACAGAAACTGCAGATTAGGAAGACAGAGCCATATGGAATTTCCAGATTTTTTTTCTGTAGAATATAATCTCCATTAAAAGCCATCTGTCCCTTTAAGATCTTTCAGAATATAAATGGATACAACGTTAACTTAGAATTCTAAGTCTACCATGCTAACTTCCCACTATTGACCATTTAACAGAAATATCCAGGCAAGGTACTCATCCATGACCTCTGAAAGCCACAGTGGATATTGCAATAAACGAAGAGGTGATTGCTATCAAACAACTCAGGGATTCAATGACCAAAAAGGAAAGTTGCAATGGGACATGCGCAGTACTCTTAACATAAGATATTAAACTTACAATAATGCATGCAGTACATTTCATAAACAGACTCAAAGTACTTAAAGTCCAAGCTTACCTTACACAACATTCTACTGCACGACACCAATGAGGCATCTCATCATGAAGGGCACATAACTGATGGCAGGAATTAAACACTTTCTCAGCGTCACTGTACCAGCCAGCATCTGATAGGAACCCTCCTGGAAATTTGAGAGCAAATAAGTTTTTGGACACCAATGAATTGCTGTAAAAGATGAATTTTTTTTTTACCAGGAACTTCTGGTGAAAATTGTACTAATCTGCCCTTTCACTGCAGATTAAGAGTAAGAGAACAGGAAAACCCTATGCCCAAATTAAAATACAGCAAGTTAGTGCTATACTAATTTGCAGACAGGATGACACTCCGGATATGTCTACACTACCCCACTAGTTCGAACTAGCGGGGTAATGTAGGCATACCGCACTTGCAAATGAAGCCCGGGATTTGAATTTCCCGGGCTTCATTTGCATAAACTGGGCGCCGCCATTTTTAAATCCCTGCTCGTTCGAACCCCGTGCCGCGCAGCTACACGCGGCACGAACTAGGTAGTTCAGACTAGGCTTCCTAGTCCGAACTACCGTTACTCCTCATTCCACGTGAAGCTTGGCTCTGTGTGGCCTGGGCCTACTGGAGCTGGGCAGGTCTTATAGCCCGTCACTTCCCCAGCTCTTCAGAATGGCCGCTCCGAGCTCTCTGGGGTCACCACGGAGCAAAGCTGCCCCAACAGGCTCATTTGGAAAGGCTGGGTTGGGGGCGGGCTGTGGCTCCTGCTACAGTGGCCAGGGCTGTGCTGCCCAGCCTGGTGGTGCCCCTGGAGGCGGGGGGGAAGGGGGGATGAAAGGGGCACGCAGCTTGATTAATTCATGGGAGGGGGCGGGGTGTGTGTAGGGAGGGAGGAAGGGTGATAGGGTGTATGTGGGGTTGGGCAGTGCGGTAAGGTGCGGATGGTAGGGATGAGAGGGATATACAATGGTGGCAGTGTGGGAGTGGGGAGGGGTGCAGGAATGGAGGAAGGAGGTGGGTGCAGGGACAGGCAGAGTGGGGTGGGGAAGGGTTAGGGAGGATGGTGAGTGCAGGAATGGAGGCAGGGGGATCAAACTGAAATACAGATTGCGGGCAGGAGTCAGGGCTGCCATACCTTAGCCTGGCCCTCTCCGGCAGCCGGGGGGGAGAGCTGGGACTGCCTACCCCGAGATGGGGGAGGAGGGAGGGTTGGTGAGCATAGCAGGAAGGGGGCACCACCCACTAGTATTCTTTTATGCCTTTAATTCAACTTTAACAAACTAAAACGTCATGGTAAAATAGCCTGGTACTTTATCACCACTTACCTAAAACAAAACCAATCTGGATTGCTTTATCTTTTACATCAGAGTCGGATTCTGCTATGTAGGAGCACCATCTACTGAATGAATAGGCCAGTACGGAAGCAACTTTTACTCCATGATCCATCAGAGCTTGAAAACAGTGATGAAGCAAGTGTCTGTAATGAAAAAAAAACAACAGTATTTATTTAATATTATAAAGCCCTAAATATTCCAGTTAGTTGGTTCTTTAGTATTACAGACACAAATGTGACTAGTAAGCCACAAATATTAAAAAAAAAAAAAACCTAAATCCCCCTGAAGATGGATCTGGGCAATATCTACATCAAGACCAGTAGTATATAACTGTTGCATTGTACATTACAAAGTTGACGTATACAGTTCCCAAAACAGTGCCCAGTGTTTTAAACAGAAGCCACCCACACATGCCTTTAAAAACAGCAAACAAAATTTTAAAACAGATTTTAAAACAGGAAACTGTCCATTCTGAATGTCAAACAAAAACCAATTTCACAGATGTGAAACATACTATGAAGCTTGGTTCCAAAGTTCTTAATTCAAACAGTGTACAAACCAATAGTAAAAAGAGGCTATGAAGAGTCTAAGACCAGGAACATACAATAAAAAGAAAGGTGACAGCTTTTTTAAAAAGTCAGGGCTTATTCTGGGTACAAAGGAGAAAACAGTCTGAAGACGCCAGTTATAAGCGTAACACAACAGGACAGTCAGAGAGATGGAGTTCCTCAGCTTAAGAAGTCGTTCTTACTATTTTGGCAGACATCCACACCTGGAATTACATGGGGCATATAGGAACACGGCCTTTATACATTTCCTATATTCTTACTAATTTGATTTAGGTCTTTCAGTGTATATTCTGGGGGTTAAAAGAGAACTACAAAAAGGCACTAAATTGTAGCCACAGAGCTAACACTGGAGGATTGCCAACACCACCATAAGATTCATGTCTAGCATATTTTAGGGTTACTTAAGTAAAACTAACAGAGTATTTGTGTGACAGACCACATGGTACAGAAATTTTAAAGAATTCATCCACTTACCTAAAAACTAAGAGAGAGGACAGAAACAGTGATCTTGTGTGAAGTTGGAGAAGAGTGAAAAATGAGACGATATGGGAAGGGTACATTCTTCAAATTTAAGACCAGAAGTGAACGGTAAAAGCTCAACATCCAGATAAGCTGCACACATATTTAAGCTCGGGAAAATGGCATGAATCAGTTTACTTGTACCAATTTTACATAGTGTTAAAGACCAGCTGATCCATAAAATTAGATTAGTTTTAAAGGTGCGCATGTGATTGTGTGTCTGTCTGTATTACACACCCAGGATATCTGTGCATTTCTTTGTTTGGTATTAAATACTGCTCTTGTTTTGCCACATTTTTATCTATCCCTCCGAAGTGGTTATTACAGTAATTTAACATATGTACCTAAAATTGAATCTTCTGCTGCCTCATAAAGGATTAAAATATAAATTTTAATGGGATTATTTTTAAAAAAAGCAACTGCCCTAACCAATCCACATTTCAGGCGGGGAGCGCAAAATGGGTGTGTTCTGAGGCAAAGGGGGAATCCAAGAGATAATGATGGTTTCAAAATACACAACATGGCATAGACCATTTCAGAAATGGCTTGGAAAAATCACTTGTTTCAATACAGGCAGTCCCCAAGTTACGCGGATCCGACTTATGTCGGATCCGCACTTACGAACGGGGCTTTCTCGCCCCGGAGCTCGCAGGCAGTGGGACCGCCCAGAGCCCAGCGGTCCCACCACCTCGACCTCCGGGGCGAGAAAAGCTGCTCCGGGTGCCCCTGGTCTGTTTTGGACTGTCTCCAGCAGATCAGGGACACCTGGAGCAAAGCCGGGGAGGCGGAGGGGTCCCGTGCCTCTGAGGCTTTGCTAGGATTAATATCAGATTTTCTTTAGAATCCTTGAGATTCTGAATGTTAGGAGTTGAGTGAGTCATAGATGAATGTATGTATTAGAAAGTACCTATGGAAAAAATACAGGAATGCATATTGCAAGAACATTTTTGTGTAACATTTTCCACTAACTCGATTATAGCAAGACATGGAAAATGAAACATGATTGAGTAATAATGTAAGATAGTTACCTTTTATCTAAAGCTCGTAACACCTTAGCAAAAACTTCTAGTTCACAAAATTCACTACCCAACTGGCATAAGCGACCTTGTTGATAAAGCTGAAAGCAAAAAAATTAGAAAAATTTAAAATTATGAAATCTACTAAAATTATATAAATAGTGAAACAAAGTTTACATTGGTGGTAAAGTATTAGTCTAAAATCTTAACATGCCAAATCACCTGTAAACTACAGGAGACTGGCTAGAACAAGAATAAATATCAGAAGGGAGAGTTCAGTTAACAAAAAAACAACTATGTGCCATCACTGTATTCTGACGAAAAAACTATGTAAAATACCAAGGGAAAAGATAAGGTGGACACTGTGTTACAAAAAGGAATTATCCAGCTCTCTGTTGTAAAACATTTAATATACCCTACTGTCCTTGCTCTTCCTTCTTTATCAGTTCACTTAGCAGCACACAATATATAACTGAATCGTTTACTCTTACACTTACTCTTACACCTATTTAGGTGAATTGACCTAGCTATCCCAGAAACATTAGAATGAATCTTGAGATTTAAAAACCAATCATAATCCCTGCACATTGATTTTCAAATGCCACATGAAAGACGTCCATACACTAATGAATCAGCCAACAAATCAGAAATCTTATTTATTTAAAATGGATTACCAATTCCTTTGATTCCCAAGACACTCCATGATGGAAAGAAGTTTGGATTGTGCTTGAATGGTTTCAAGTGGACAAACTGGCATTGCATCAGATCTCAAAGGCTAAACAGAATTGGTCAGTGTTGATTCTTGACTAACACCACTCGTTTTTAAACCATACTATCAAAAATCATGGTGGCACATGAAGGGATATGCCAACTCAGAAGCTGTCCCTGAAAATGTTACCTATAATCTTTTCCATCCATGTGTGGAATAAATTATTTTATGTGAAATAAATCATGTGTGAATGCGCACCACCAGTAGAAACAAAACATCTAGCTGCGGGCACTCTACTTATCAGCTGTGTGGCACCTGAGTGGCTGCACAAGCGCACAGCTTACAGGGAACACTGGTCCCTACTAGGGAGGTTAAAGACTAGTCGACTAATGCTTATCGGATAGTCTTTTGACTAGTCCATCTCCCTCCTCCCCCCCGCTGCCTCTATGAGACAGAGGAAGCAAAAGCGGAGGGGGGGAGAGAAGGGTACTTCCAGTGGCAGCACCTCACAGCTGTGTAGCAGCTAACCCTTTAAAACACTGCTTCTGGCATTACTCTGCCTCAGCGTGTTTCAAAGGAGCAGTGGAGCTCGGGGTCAGCTGGCAACTCCCCAGATGATCCTGGGCTCTGCGGATCACTTCCCCAGAACCTGCATTTTAAATCAGGCACCTGCGTGCAGCCCGGAATCAGCGGAACATCCCGCTGGCTCCAGGCTGTACATGGATATCCACATTCCTCCTCTGAAATGTACAAGAGCTCCATTTTCCTCAGCCTAGCTGTCTAAAACTCAGTAAAGTAACAACTTAGATATAAGAATCTAAAGTGAATTTTCCATAATTAAAGAATTGCTCAACCACAACTGGCATTTCAAAAACGACACTGAAGGTGGATTTCTTGCTGAAGAATGAGGTCATTTATCAAAGAAACTAAGAAAGTTCCCAAGCTGCTCAAATATTGATTTACCAATCAGAAATACTATTTCAGTGTTTAATACTTACATCACTCCATGTAAAAAAAAATTCACTTTTTAAAGAAAATCATTATTAAGGCAGGTTAGAAAGCTTTAGTTCCTTCCTTGGGGTTCACACACAGCTAGCATCATAAACTCAAAACAACCACCTCCAGCCTTATAATTCCAGACATCCATTGTAAATAAAATCCTTTTTGTAAAAACATTTATAGAATACAAGCACACAATCTTATAATGTATTCACTATAAAATTTCACTCTTATTTTGTGTTTTGATATACAGGCTGTTTAAGATATGTGCCATTTTTAGATAATACAGCTATATGGATTGTTGACTGTGATTTTAAAATTATGAATACATATATAATTTAGCCTGAAAAAAGCTACTCATGTTTGCTTTTCCACAACTGATTTCTGCAGATCTCTTTTCCTGTTTCTATGGTATAGACTTGTACTGCAACTCAAACAACACTTATTTTCCTTAGTACAACCAGAAATTGACAGCTTGCCTTATTTACTATCCTCTTATTTTCTGCAAATACTGGCAAAAAAATTTAAAGGAATTAACCCAGATTAAGCCTACTTAATCTGTGGTGATGTGAACGCTGCATTTTTCAAACACATGGTAACGGACACTAGATTCAGAAAGGAAAGGGATGAGAGTAGCAGGCAGTTTTTTCTAGAAGATTCACTCCTTCTAATATGCACATTCAGAAATCCTTGCAAACAGGATCTTCACTGTTATCCAAGTATCTCAAAGCTGCACCATGTGTTCCAAGAAAGGAAGAAACTGTTCTCTGATGCAAACCCACACAGAGAATAAGAATTCATAGTTCCAAGGCTAGCTATCTTATTTGAAACAAAGGCTAAGTTCAAGGGAAATATCCATCGTTGAGTATTGTTACAGCTCTGAACCGCAGAATATTTGTTTCTTTAAAGAAACAGTTTTTCTGACATAAGCATAAGCCATCTGTTGTTTAAATTAAACTCATGTTCAACAACTCAGTTTCTCACTTAGAAGTCACTGCAGAGATCAATTACTCCCGTAGAACATTTGACAGTCATCTACAGAAAACTGACATAGGACTCACCTAGACTGGCTTCCAACTCTAACAAAAATTAAAGGTGCCACAGCAACATTAAGTCGTGACACTTCACGTATGGCTTTATATTTTAATTTAATAATAACCTGAGCCACTACACACAGCTATAAAAAAAACATTAGAGAAATCACAGTATCATATGTTCTTGAAAACAGAGTTCTACTCAATCCCAAAAATTAGAAAATCTCTTTAAAACTACACTTTATCATACCAGCTAGGTGCTGCTCAATCTCATGGGGATTTATTCCTCACCACAGAAACAAACACACAATGGAGGATCATTTGACAAAGGATTGTTGATAGAAAATAAGGAAGTTAAGCAGAAAAATCAACTAGCATCACCCTACCAAATTATTTGAAGTCAGCCTGAAAAATGAAACATTCTATATTTCTAGAAATAATTTGACATATCTTTAATATTGCCATGTGTATCAGTATTCCAGCAAAGAGCCCAACAAAACTGTCTATAAAAAAGGTGCTAAAAATTAAAAAAGCATTTTTCTTGTCAATGATATGCACCAGAGTTTCTAATCTGCCTTCAGAGGGAAAAAAGAAAGCCTGATACTACAGCATTAGAGAATAATTCCTTTAGAAATCCATGACTATTGTTTTAGAATATGATTGGTGAATTTTCAAAATACTGCACCTAACTTTAGAATGTAAGCTAATCTTCATTCAAGTCTCATTTACAATGGCCAGGGAAATCCAACAAGTCTTGTCTATACTACAGGCAGTCCCCGGGTTACGCGGATCCGACTTATGTCGGATCCGTACTTACGAACAGGGCTTTTCTCGCCCCGGAGGACGCGGGCGGTGGGACCACTCAGACGCGCCGCGGTCCCGCCGCCCGGGTCCTCCGAGGCAAGAAAAGCTGCTCCGCGTCTCCCTGGTCTGCTGAGGAGCGGTGCTACTGGAGCAACCCAGCAGCACCCCAGCTGCTCTGCCGCCGGGCTGGTCCCCGCAGCGCCGAGGCTGACTTACATACAGATTCAACTTAAGACCCCCAGGCGTCCCCAAGTCAGCTGCTGCTGAAACTGATCAGCAGCTGATTCCAGGAAGCCCGGGGCAGAGCAACTCCGCCTCGGGCTTCCTGTAGTCAGCCGCTGGTCAGTTTCAGCAGCGGCTGAATCTGGACACCAGTTCCGACTTACATACAGATTCAATTTAAAAACAAACCTACAGTCCCTATCTTGTCCGTAACCCAGGGACTGCCTGTATAGGCATGTCAGTGGCACACCTATGGTGCTGCAGCACCATCGTGTAGACCCTTTTTACAGAAATGGAAAAGATTTTTTTGTTGCTGTAGCTAATCTACCTTGTGAGCTGCAAAAGATAAGTCAATCTAATTTTAAACAGCAGACCAAACACAACTCTGCCCCTTTCTAGCTAACCACACTTAAATCATGTCTTGGTACTAAAAGGTTAGTCTGTGATCTTGCCAAAACTCAAGTTCAACAGATAGTCAACACTTGAACATGAAACCTCATGAGGCTAAAGTAAGGTATTCTCAAAAAACAAACTTGCACTGGTTTAATAAATCAGCTTAGTCACTGCAAACCCTCATACAAGCACTCATCTTAGTCATCTTAAGCTAAACCTTTAAAAAGCCACTATTAAGACATTCAGGGGGTTCCACTATTTTAAACTGGTTTAAATTGACACCTGGAGTTAAATCAGAGCAACTCACTGTACTGACAAACCCTGTAATATTGGCAATAGTTAGTATTTGAAGGCAATGATCTTGCAAACTCACATACTCAGTTCTAAACCCTTTATTAGTTCCATTCAAGTCAACAGGTCTACTCTCACGCATACATTTTTGCAGGATCAGAGCACAACTCAGTAAGGTACGGAGCTGTTGTGCATTTGCTCATGACACTGCAGTATTCCCAGTGAGATAAAAGACAAAAAAAAAAATCTAAGGTCAAAAACCAGGATGAGTGTTTCCTTCCTCCCCACTCAAAGTAAAAAAATTCTAATCTGTTCTGTGGTGCTTCTTGTTAGGCCAAATACACTAGTTTCTAGTTGAAAGCAATACTTTTTTTACTCAACGCTGCCCTAACCATTCAGTTGGATCTGCTAGTCCCTTTCCCTCTTTCAGCCCCCTCATCTCCCCAGGTGCTCCTGTATGCTATTAAACATATGGGCTGTGTCTACACTGGCGCGATCTTGCGCGAAAGCGGCCGCTCTTGCGCAAAAACTTGCTGCCTGTCTACACTGGCCGTGTTGTTCTTGCGCAAGTAAACTGACGTTCTACTGTATAAAATCAGGGCTTCATGCGCAAGACCTACGACTGTCCCACTCAGGAATAAGCCCTTTT